AGAGAGAGAGAGAGAGAGAGAGAGAGAGAGAGAGAGAGAGAGAGAGAAGGGGGAGTCTAAGGAAACAGCAACAGCTGGCTGTTTTTGTTTTTTGGTTTTTTTTTTTTCTTTCCCAGGAACAGCTTGGGACTAGCTATGATCACAAGATCTCTTGGCAGACCAACTTGATGAGCATAGTAAAGCTGTGAGAAAAAAACGTTCTTTTGCTGCGTATATCATGGTGCTGTCCTATCGTTGACTAACTTAAGTGAGCACATGCACACCTTTAAAAAATGTGAGAAATTCACTGATTCTTACAGAGTAAACCGTGCTTCCCCATTGCTTCAGCGTCAAGGAAACATTAAGGACACTCAAAACCAGAGTGCAAAATATTCAATAAGCTCCTCGTTCCCTTCAAATCATTTGGGAATTGGGCAGTCAGGAGAAGGCAGGAAAGAAATTCAGGCACAAATTAAAGAACACTTGTAACCTTCTGAGGGTGGTAATGTTAACCTTCAAAGAAACAAGTTTTAACAGCTTCATGGATCATTTGCTCTTTCTTTGAACATTTAATTGATTTCTCCTTAAGCAGAAAGAACAACCTAACTAAAACACTTTTTTTTTTGCTCACCTGCTAGATGCCAACCCTATGGAATATTAGAAAATGTGCATAAATAGCTCTTCAGATCTCCAGCAGTAGAGGATGTGCAGTGTTGTGGGCTTTAGCATTTTTAAAGAGCTTGTATTCTACCTCCCTGCTGGGTGTCAATTCAGTGAATCGATTCATCACTAAATATCAGCATTGGATTGGATTAGCTGGGATGCTTCATATTTTTAATTATGAAGCATTTTGGTCTAGTCTGGTGTATGTGGTATTAGCACGTGCGTAGCATCAAATCAGTTTCTCATCTCAGCGTTTGCTATATTTCTCCAGTGACTGAAGTAGTTTATTGGCAGTCAGTTTGTAAAATGCTCTCTCGAGTTATCTAAAAGTAGAATTCTAGGACGGAAATACATTTCATCGACGTGCTTGCCAAAAAATGTAATTAACACAGATGATATACTGTCTTCTAAGCAGATGAAGATTCTGAGGCTGACCTGAGTCAAGATGGCAGTATACACACACACTGCACTGACCTCTCTTTCTCTGTGACTCAAATCCTCCACTTTCAGTTCGTCAGACATTTTAGTCCCATTTGCACATGTGCATGTGCGCATGTCTAGGTTCGTACATGGTACATTCAAAACACACCAGCCAATTTCAATGTTTTTATCATTTAGAGCTGATTGAATTATTGCATGAGTAACATTACATTCCTAAAGGTTACTAAAGGAACTCTTAGAGTTTTTTAACTGCTCCCCAAAATTCAATATGTAGCTTAGGGAACTGCTCTCACACTGACAAATGGCTTCCTTTCTTTCACTTCTTCCAAAAAGTGCTAAAAGGCTATTCCCATTTGAGTTCAAGCTGGTAGACTTCACTCTGTGTGGCTCTTAAAGAGGAGAACTAGATTTCTCACATCTCCAGAAGCTGGCAGGCTAAGGTCAGAGGTCATCATGGCATTCGTCTATTGTTGTGAGAACTCTCTTCCCGGATCGCATACTCTGAACTTGTGTTCTTGCTTGGAGCAGACAAAACTAGATTTCTGGCATCTTTTCATTAGGACACCAATCCCATTCAGGATGATGTCAGCCTTATGATCTAATTGCCTCCTAAAGGACTCACCACTGCCTATATCAATACCCCCAAATCGGATTCAGCACAGAAATTTTGGCAAGAACAGTAGGAATTCCTCATCTATTGAATATATTCAGTTCATATATGTTACAATATCTATATTATTTTTACAAAGAGAAACTGCAAATCAATAATCCTGCCCATATCTCATTTTGAAATGTATTGCCCAATTGATGTTTGAGGTATTGTACTTTACACTCAGAAGTAAGACATGTGACCATACAAAGCTAGTTTTGTTTTTGAAAGGTGTTTTCATAGCTGGTCAACATTGTGAAACTAAAAACTGGAAAAATAGTTTATAAATGCACTTTTTATTAACAGTTACCTTATTATAAATGACAGAATTTTATCAGTAGTTGATAATCCAGTTATATTTGTATTTTTCTTCAATAAGGCACTTATATCATTTTCACTCATATTTATTGTGAATTCTTTTCCTTATGATTTAAAAGCATTCTTAAAAGTACTAAGGGCCCACTTCCTTTATTGCAGTAGTTCTTTTTATTCAAACCAACAGTTTATCTATCCTTCAGTGGGTTCTCTGTTCTTTTATGGGTAGTTGACACTTGCTGAGGGAGAAAGAGACATTTTCTTTTTCGGAAATGGTCTCTGATGAGTAAACTATGCTCCAGTGAAGGCCAGACATGCAAGTGTTAATGGGCATTGCACACTGTACTTGACGGTCTTTAAATAATCTATATAACTACATAATATTGGGTGGGAAAGGAAATGTGGATAGATCTGTAAAGATTGAGAAGAGGGGGTAAATGTGATCAAAATGTATTATATGATATTCTTGGAGAACTAATAAAAATAAGGAAAAAGAAGAAAATAATTATCTGCTCTTGAAGCACTGCAGTGAAAGCATATCAACTTTCTGTGCATTTGGGGAAGTTCCATTTGCACATGGAGAATAGTCTGATCAAATTGTATTTTTTCTGATGTCAATCATGATAAATTATTTTTTGTTAAAAATGTCACCATTACATCCAGGTTTAATACAACTTCAGACAATTCATTTTTCTTAGAGTATGTAATGGCCTGTGTAAATTTTTGTCTTCTTGGTCTATCAATTACAAGAAATAAATAAATAAGAACAAAAACAAATCTATTGAATTATCTGGAGGCCAAGATTTGTCTTGCCTCCATCAAAATTTATCATTTTTGCTCCGTATATCATCTCTGAAATATATGTCCCCATTTGTCATAGCAAGATTTCAAGTTCAGAATTATTTTTAATCCATGACGGGGTTCTAGTTTTGTCAGGTATGGCTAACATTTTCCTACCAGTGGTTGCTTTTTACTCTGTAACAGATACTCAAATAATTGAGAGCACATTAGTTTGTAGAAAAATATAGTTGATATATAGTTAATTTTGGGGATGCTATGAGAAACAAGAGGATGAAACGGATTAGAAGAAACAATTACAAATAAGTGCAGCCTACAGTATAGGGAACAGGTGACAGATAAGCAACACTATCACCTGATCATCTATTGACTTGACCACAAATACCTCCATTACATTGCCACACTAGGATGTGTGAACACATGCCTGGATCTGCCATGTGGGGAAAGTAGGAAGCAAACTAACCTTGTAAATCATTTTCTTCTTCATATAGATCCACATTTCTTTGATTAATGGGAGACCAAGTGCCGATGATCCATCCCCTGAGCTCCTGGAATTCACCTCTGCTCGCTATATTCGCCTGAGGTTCCAGCGGATCCGCACCTTGAATGCCGATTTGATGATGTTTGCTCATAAAGACCCCAGAGAAATCGACCCCATTGTCACAAGAAGAGTAAGTGTTGGGAATAACACTGGAGCCTGAATGACACCAGGTCCATCTTCTTAATAGTCGGTCGAGGATCGAGAGAGAAATTGTTCTGAGATTTGTAGGAACATTTATCATTAGAGACTTTAAAACCCAGAACACTCTCCTTTGTTCAAATTCAAGCACTATGACTTATTAATTACACAGAATTTATCAAGTCCTCTACTGTTTTTCAACTATAATTTCCTCTTTTGTAAAATGAGAGCATAATACCTTGTTTATAATCTTCTTAAAACATTGCATTAGTTTTTGTCACTTTAGGTGATCCATATTTTTGTAACTGGATCTGAGATGCTACTTGTTGAAGAACAGGGACTTTGAAACACTTTTGGCCATAACCCACGTGAAGAAATACATTTTATATATTTGCTATAAATATAGCTTATCTTCTTGTGGAGACCACAATCTAATTTGGTAGGTATAGAACAAGGCTGAGTTTGTACTATAAGAGAAAGTTCCAGAGCTGTCAATATTACTGGAAAGACCAGGCTATCTCATCAAATATTCTGTCTCCATTAATAAATCATGCGCCACAATTTTTTTAAAAAAAAATCAATAAAAAGCCCTGCCATTGGGAAAATGATTCCACAATCTGTTTTTTTTCTTCAATAAAATTAAGAGAAACAAGTAAAAGTCTAAAGAGTCTTTTCAACAGATCTTTGACCACCAGAACTAACAGTGTGTGGTATGTTTTCTTTCAGCACCAAACAGACAGAAATGTGTAAGGTTATTATGAAAAGGATGATCAGACCAGTTTGCTGTTATTAGTTTTGATTCTGCCCAACTCCTTCCTATGTACTCCATACTCTAGCCATGAAATTGTGTAGTGTCTGTCCATACACATTCAACTTTAAATCCTAGGGTACACCCCTGCTCACAAAGAATTGCTGTACTGTACACCTGGTGGTAGATGTATGAAAAGTATGTATATAGGGTAAAATCAAACCTAAGGGCAAAACACTTAAATCTAGAGCATGAAGATTAGACCACAGCCTCCACCAGACCTACCACTGATGCAATGGCTTTTGTCACAGTTCCTCATCATTCTTCACCTGTTTCCTCTCCTCATGGCTTAACCTACCCAATTGTACCCTCTCCATCGTCACAGAACAACTACCAAATTTTAATTATCTCCACACAACATATGGTAGTTGTCCTAGTGCCTTTTATTTTCCAAACTTGAAGCAATTTTACTTTGCATTACATTTTACCAGATTGTCAATTGCCTTATGCATAAGTCATCATTGTTTCTTAACACTGTTTGGATTCTTCGCAGAGTGAAAAAAAAATCACCTTTAATTTTATTTTTAGAATGAAAAAACCTGAACAATACTGTTGTGAAATTTATTCTTCTTTGACAAGTACAACAAGGAACATCGCTGAAAAAAATTACTGTTCTTTTTTATCATCTTTTGCAGGGCTGAGTGGGGATTGTATTATACATTTATTATTTGCAATGGCCTCGTACCTGAGCCTTTGGTCAACATATGCATATGCTTTCTGAAAGTGCTCAGGTTCAATGAACACTACCTGCAGATTTAAACATGTGAAAACAGAATATTACATTTCAGCTCTTCATACTCAAAATCAAAGCCATGTGTATTTACACTTAAAATACATTTCCTCATTTTAAAAGCATCTACAATAACACTGCACCAGCTTCTAGTGCAATTATCCCCGCTTGTATTTTATCATTAAGAGATGAAGTTAAGTAAAGAGAAAAAATTTTAAGTTACCTAAGTTTCTCAACATGTTCTATTAATTCAAAATCTAGATAAAAAGAAATAACATAAGATTGGAAAGATATTTTACAAGATACTATACATATAAAGCAAAAACAAAAGAAGAAGAATTGAAAGAAAACTCTATAGATTAATAAATGATTTTTAGTTAGGGCGCTCAGATAGGTTTTATATATATGAGATATTTTATACTCACTGAAGTTGTCACTTTTTCTTGTATATCGTTGTAATAAGAGGGCTTTCTTTCACTGAGTGGGTTATTTGGATACTAAATAATAATGTAAAAAAAACTTTAGTGATTATAAAACATTATACACATTAATTAAAATTTCAATTCAGTCCCGCTTTACAATTATAAATACTTTTTAAATGACTATACTGCAGCTTTGTGCTAATTTCAGATAGAAAAGCAGTTGTAGGAACATTTTAACGTAACAAAAAGCAAGCTTTCTGGACATCAGCCTTTCACTTTGCCCTTTTTTCCCTTTGAAATTCCTTGTGAATCGGATAAGAATTACATTGTCACCAGCACAATTTCTTTTAAAGGTATTGTTCCATTTCAGATGTATTAAGTAAAACAGGATAATCTGATTCACAAACACTCAGCTTCTCATGACCACAACTAAAGATCTTGCTCTAGAGAAACTGTGAAACAGCTTTATGAAGAGGTACTGTCCTCAGCCCCAAGGTCAGAACTGCTGTGGCAATGGCTACTCCAACCTGTACATTGCAATGGGAAAGAAATCCCCACGGTGGGCATGAGACATAACCTTAAGGCCTTCCTTTCAGGGGCATTGAGTGCCAAGTCAGGACTTACTTCACCTTAGGAAACACAAGAATGCTTCTAAAAATGCTAGAAAGGCAAAAGTGAAGTTTTATCTAACTGCCCTAATCCTGCTTTCTGCTCTTCTTGTTCTCCCCTTTCAGTGATGCTGACATTTTTTTCTAATTTTCTTTTTCAGTATTACTACTCTGTCAAGGATATTTCAGTTGGAGGGATGTGCATCTGTTATGGTCATGCCCGGGCTTGTCCGCTTGATCCGGCAACAAATGTATGTATATTTATAGGCCGCTTAGGCAAAATGAAATGCTGCACTGTAAAATGCTTCAAGAGAGGCTTTACTGAAAGGAATTGCTGTGAATGGGTGTCAGGTCCCCACTTAAATGCTTTCACGGGAAGCCTTGCCAGGGTGAAATGGAGCTGGCAGTTAAGATGATAGACTTTGAGTCCAACCGTCATTGCATCAGAAAACAGATTACCTCTCTTCTCCCATAAAGGTTCCAAAGTGGCGTCTGTTTTGACGTCTCTCTAGCTATGACAGTCTGACGCACGATTTAGCTTTGTGAGAATACCTGCCATCAATCTGCCTGTCTAGTCCTTTAAAATTTTTTAATCAAAAAAAAAATCACGTAAAGCAATGAATATTGTGCACAGAGGTAAGCGTCATAGCGTCCCTGTGACAGGAAGCTGATGTGGGGGAGGACAATAAGAAATTAGGTAGAAGGGAGTATTCGGACAAGCTCGAAAGCTTTGGTGTAGAACTTTTCATCAACGACAATGAACGTGTTAGGTGAACACAGCCTCAAGATGAATGAGCATGTGCTTCTCTCTTGTCATAAACAAACTGGCAAATTCAAAATCATCAACTGTGCAGCACGTGGAAGAGATAGACTAAATTGGAAAATAAGGGGATGTTTATAAGGCCATGCAGGGTTTTTTGCTTTGCTTTTGTTTGTTTGCTTTTTTGCATCTACTAAAACGCCACTATAAGTAATGTTATACTCAAAGTTTGTTTTCTGATTAATGACTTGTACATCACATCCCAGGCAGAGGGAAGGGTCTGGCTAATTTTTTTAGGACTAGTTTGAGTGTATCTTGTGCAGCATTATCTGTTGGGGTCACTGATGAACAGTGTTTCCCAAGTAGTGAGAGCCCCAAAGTGGCCTTGGAAAGGATATGAATAGAGACTAGAACACAGGACACAGAGATAAAAGCCATGGTAACAGAGATTCTAAACTCGTGCCTTTCCTCAGGACCTAGATGCACAGTGAAGTCTAGGCTCCCTGTTTTGTCACTTCTGAGACTTTTAACAGGGCTTTGAAGTAAGACTTAATATTAGGCATGTGCCCCTGAGAAGAAAGTCTCAGGATACTGGAGAAGCAGAACTCAGTATTCAACTGGGTCTCCCTGGTCTCTTCAGAACCTAAACCCAGTGATTCTAACTACAGCAGGGACCAACCAGACTGGTGCAGAAGATTTGTAGTCACCCCGGCACTGCCACTGTCTCCTGCACACGATGACCCCGATTTTATACTTTAGTGTTTCCCTATATCCACCTTTCAGAGACAGCCCCCATTCTGTGGTTCTATGCAATACTCAGAAATATGTCTCCTCCCTTTGTGGCTAGAAATCACGCTGTGAGTGTGAGCACAATACCTGCGGGGAGAGCTGCGACCGCTGCTGCCCGGGATTCCATCAGAAGCCCTGGAGAGCTGGGACTTTCCTCACCAGGACTGAATGTGAAGGTATGCTCCTGACCTGGCAGGACACCTGTGTCATTCTCCTTGCTAGGGACACAGAGAACATCACTGAGAGCTGATGTTGGTTAGGCAATCTCATTTCCCAGTTATAAATTTTAGCCAAGGCCGTAGCTAGTAAATTTGTCGACCAGTTGTCTTACTACCTCAGCTTTCTTGGGTGTTCATCCTAAATTTCTGAATATTTATCAAATGCTACTAACTTATATAAATATAAGGATTAGGGCACTACAGAAGAAAATTCTGTACACCTTTTTTCATCAAGAAGAACTCAGTACTTTAGTATAAGACACCAACATAAAAAACATGGAGATACATAAACACACATAACCATATCCAAAACATACAACAAACAGAAACACACATTAAAAACAAATATGCATACAGAAAAACACACAAACATGAAAAATCACAAACCATTACAAACACACATATAAATATACAATAAACAAACATATGCACACAAAACACAGACACAGAAACACATAGGAATACAAGGAAACATATAAGTTCAGAGATACAAAAACATACACAACCACTAACAAATACATATAAAATCACACACAAACAAAAGCACTCAAGCACACACACATAGACAGGACCCAAAAAGAAACAGACACACAAACATATAAGCGTATGCAAACAGAAACAGACGGCATGAAAGCATAAACAACTGGAAACCCACGCACACAAACAGAAATGTAGATGAGCAGAAGGTGAAACCTAGAGCCTCCGGACATTACTTCGAAACAGAGATATTTGCAGAGTCTGAATTAGCGCTCTCAGTCCAGATAATCTTTTACACCCCCAAAATAGCCTTTAAACACTCATCACCTAATACGAGAGCCAGTCAAAGGTGAGAGATTAACTTGATGCTAGAACCAGGCTATTCATAGAGAATGAAAGGATTTATGAATCACAGTTAGGATGGGCAATGTTGCTGCATAGTAGCCAGGAAAGAGTGGAAGGTGATAGGCCAAGACATGAAACTTTGTGGACACAAATATCACTCTTCAAACTGACATTTAAAATTGCATGAATTCATGGGATTTCATGTGTTAGTTTCATATACACTTTGCATACTGTTCAAATCTTAAATTGTTATCAAATCTTAGTGGTAAAAACATCAAGCCCCTTTCTTCTGTGAACAAGGCAGAATATCATTTTGTACAGCACATTATAAAACTGCGAATGGGACAACAGAAGCTGTTTCTTCTATTTAACTGTCAATTAGTAAGCAGTGACCGACCTTTGCCCATCTCTCCCTCACACCCCCTCTTGCCCATTACTATTAATCAACATTCTACGTCTGAATTTAATGAACTCACACAGACTACATTAAACATGTTAAGTGAGGCCATGCTGTATCTGCCTCTTGGCGCCTGGTTTATTACATTTAGCATAACATAATCCAGTTCCATTCATTTGATCGCAAGTGGAATATTTCATCCTTTGTCTTAATAGTATTCCATTGTGCACACATTCCACCTTTCTTTTCTTCAGTAGGCAGACATTGTGGGAAAGCAGTCCAAGAATGGAGTCATGCGAGGATTCTCGTTGCTTTCGAAAGAGCAAGATGAGAGTCTTGTGACTTCAGGGTCTGCAAAACACAGAACGGTTCTGGGAATGTGTTTTCATGCTCCTCCCAGATGTAGTGAATAGGAGTAAATTTACTTCAGCTGTTTTTTTTTTGTTATGGAAAAACATGTTTTTGTCATATGCAGTTTGTCTCTATGAATACGTTTCTCACATGCCTCTTCTTAACCCTCAGATTATAAATTGTCAGATGCTCTGAATAATGTTGGCTACTGCATAAGACTTAAGTCTCATTTTTAAGCCCTACTCTCTCAGTTTCATGATGCCAATGAGAGCAGTAAATTGTCATTAGATTGATTCCACGTATTGAATACCCTAAAGAGTGCTTCGGTAAATGTGGGAGGGGAGTTATAGCTTTGGTGTACTGATTATCAACAGTCAAATACTTTAAATATAGATTCTTCATAACAACACTACTATAATAAAAGGCAACTGTGGTGATTATCAGCACACATTATGCTACAATGATGTACAGCTACATCATTGTTTTGATGAACAATGAGCAACTAGAGAAAATGAGAAATAGTGAGTAGTATGTCAACAAGAGTGCTTCCTCTGAATGATTATCTTAGAGTTAAAATGAATGCCTGTTTCTCCTTAAGGAAATGACTAAAAAGTTACTTCCTGAGTTTAGACACTAATTCAGTCAAGTAGTCCACCCAAGTGACTTGAATTATAGATATGTAATCTATTTTTATTGATACGTGTTGGTGTTTTGCCTGCATGTATGTCTGGGTGCGGGTGCTGGATCCTGTAGTTATAGACAGTTGTGAGTTGCCATGTGTGTGCTGGGAGTTGAGCATGGGTCCTTTGGAAGAGCAGTCAGTGTTCCTAACTTCTGAGTCATCCCTCCAGCTCCTGTAACCTGAATTCTAGAGAATTCTGTTTCGGTAGATTTTCTTAGGGCAAGAAAAGATCTCAATATCTTTTGCAGAACTGTAGACTCAAACTGGCAGAAAGACAAATTCAGATGAATTCAATATTAATATTTCAGTGAGCCTGCCTAAACCAGATATTTTAAGTTCAAAATGTATATAAGGTTTCCAAAGCAAGCTTGCTATCAAGTAAGAAATATAACCCTATCCAGTTTATGTTTATTGTGGCTCATATGTTGGATGTGGTAAGACTTTAAGACAATTGAGTAAAATCTTCTCCAATCATAAAGCACACTCCTTTTGAGATTTTCATTCCATTTATTATCCATTTCTTGAATATCTTTGATACTTGTCTATTATTAGTGGACACAGGTAGGGACTTAACCGTCACTGAATGCTCAGACACCACTGTAGGTCCACTTGGTTTTCAGCTCTTCTCAGCCATCTATGATCTTGTAGGACCCATTTGTTCTTATGTAATTTTAAAATGTTGGGATTTTAAATCGTTTTTTCTTCTTGCAAAGCAGAGGGGAAGGTGCACTTTCATACTTTGAAAATAAAGATATTTCAAAGTCCATAAATTAAAAATAGGTATCTTAATCATAAGTTAGCTAAGCACCACAGCTTGACAATGTATCCACTTCAAAAGCTAAACAGAAAATGTCTCCTTTCCAAGTTTAATATTTAGGAAATTTTCTTATGATAGGAAAACTCTCTATATAAGACATGACCAGTTTCTAATTAATTTGAGTTTAATTTGGATATTTATGGATCTAGTTTCTTTAAAGCAAACTTATCTCTGAATAGTGACAAATTTTCATTCTGTTGCAAAGGCTTTATTTAAAGCATATGTCAAGGATTTCCTGGGGAGTGGAAAGTTGCTGCTGACAGAGTAGAAAATGGCTCGCTGAGAGCAGACACCACCCTTGTCCTCTGAAGCCATCCACCTAGAGCGAGGCACAGCACCATTGTTGTGGATAGACAGATAGAGGGTTCTGGTTACAGAGAATATGAGGACTGTCACTCAAGCATCAAACATTTGCCCACATTTTCCATCCATTCTAAATACTGGTAGATAATTCTGTATTGCATTGCATACTTCCCTCTATGCTGAGAGGTGGAGTTTTCATTGTTCCTTACAATATATATTTAAAGGAGCATGTTTAAATACTTGCACATCTTTTCTTAAACAATAAAGTTATTTACAATGCATAGATAGTTAATTTCTATGTATTTCCTAAAATAAAGCTTGAAACTCTACAAATATATTGAAATTATATTCTAAATCCAAAGTCAGCAGGTTGGAGAAGGCTTTTTCAACAACTATAACAAGGAAATATTCTTACTATATCAGGAGATCTTACATGTCAGTAAGAAAAATAACATTGCTGTTATGCAAACAACCAAAAATGACATTCACAATTCAGACAAAAAAGGATGATTCTTAAGATGAGGACGCAGCGACAAAGATGATAAAAAATATTGTTTGATTTGTCAGTGTATGCATCCATCCTCCTAACAAATACCTGAATGCCTGATATAGCTAATAAAAGTATTAATAAGATACAAGCAATATTAGTAAGGTTATGGGGGATGACTTTGATCATGTCTATTGGGTGGAGAGTCATCTAACATAACATCGTGGGATGTCCATTTTTTCAATATATTAAAATTCAAGTTGACACACCTTTAGTCTAAAATAGAAATTTCACTTCCAATAATTTAGCTCAGAGGTGGTATCATATATGTAGACAGGTCATATTATAATAATTAATTTTTGCATTATTTTAATCATTATTACTAATATATTTCTTGAAACATGTCTCTCCAGAATTCTCTTAGATAGTTTGCATTTACAAAACACATGAGAGAAGTAAGTTATAAAATGGCAGCAAAATATTTCTGAAAGTGTCTCAACCTAACACAGGAGGAGTTTTGCTTCATATATGAGATCCTAGCCCTCAGTCTTATCTAAGGACCCCAGTATATGTGCACTGTTGCTTAAAGAGAAACTTCCTGACAACTTGTAACTGCCCATTAACGGGGTATTGACTTATACCTCCTCTCTAGTGAGACTCTGTGTAGTCTTAGTTGATACCCATGCTGATATGGACAGAACAGTATGGATAGTAAGGTCAGGCAGTTCAAAAGATTATGTATACACACAAAACAGCTGTGCACATGCATGCATATGTACATACAAAGTGTATGTTTTCTGATACACAAACATAAATCAATAAAAGAACAGATAACCAAATCTATAGGAGAAAGGAGACAACAAATATTGTTCCCCAACTGTTGCAGGAAGGCAGCTTGTTTGTTTCTGGCTGCTCAGCCCCAAGATAATCACATAGAAACCATATTATTTGTAATACTGTTTGGCCAATAGCTTAAGCATATTTCTGACTAACTTATATCTTAAATTAACCCATCTCCATTAGTCTGTGTATCACCACGAGACTGTGGCTAACCAGGTAAAGTTGCAGCATCTGTCTCCAGCGGGGCTACATGGCTTCTTTCTGACTCTGCCTTCTTTCTCCCAGCATTCAGTTTAGTCTTCCCCTCCAAGTTCTACTCTACCCTATCACAGGCCCCAAACAGCTTCTTTATTAACCAAGGGTATTCACAGAACACAGAAGGGAATCCCACATCCCCTGATTCTCAACCTCATAAAAATTCTATATGTATTTCAAAACTTTACCAAGTCTTTTCTGGGAAAAGTGATTTTTCCACCACTGTCTTGAATTCTTATAATGCAACATGAAAAATATAAAGAGGGTGCAGAGCAGGTCAAATCAATTGAACTTATCTAAAAGGCATTATGGTAATCATGTTGCATGCATCATTGCATTTGATGCTTTCAAACCTTCCTATCTGCTAATGACTATTGCCTGTCTCGTGCATTATGTGGAAACAGAGTCTCAGTGAAAGGAGGGCATTACTTATATCACATGACTGCCAATCAGGGGCAAGAACATCCAATCCAAACTACCTGGGGCTCTCATTCTGTCTTGACACCTAACATGTAAATCTCTCATTGGATGTGGAGAACTGTACCAGCAGTTTGGAAGACAGATTCCTGAATCTCACTCCAGAACAGAGTCCAATACTAAGAAAGATACCTTGTATGTGATTTCCCCTGTCTCTGACTTGGTTTAGTGATTTCTGACGAGGATCTCATCATAATTGAAATCAATAGTAGCAAATATAAAATAACTAGCAGAGAAGCTTGCCTATTGAAAAGTTTTATTTGTTATTAATGATGAAAAACGGGACTAATTAACTCCTCCCTGCCCATTTTACCCATTGGATGTAGTGGAGGGTGTCACCCAGGGGCATTATTAATCATAGATTACATGATTGTTAATCATTCAGTGCTCTGTTCAATAATTTATCTGTCATAATGGAGTATAGACTGAACTATATGAAATTGTATTGGCATTTTTCTCTTCTGTTGAACTTATAGATTTTAATTATTCAAAATTCCCTTATAAGAATGAATTTATTGGCATATATGTAATAAGTACAAATGCTTTTAATAAGGATTTGTGTGTCCATGTTTTATGGATAATGAAATATTTTTAAATATATTTAAATCATGAAGCTAGTACTTACTGCTTTTTATTTTGACTGTAGCATGTAATTGTCACGGAAAAGCTGAAGAGTGTTATTATGATGAAAATGTTGCCAAAAGAAATCTGAGTTTAAACATACATGGGAAGTACATCGGAGGGGGTGTGTGCATCAACTGTACACAAAATACGGCTGGGATCAACTGTGAGACGTGTATTGATGGATTCTTCAGACCGAAAGGGGTAAAGTAGACTTTTCTTTTATTAAGCTTTATTTTTTATTTTTCATAAGAGTTATGTATCTCAAACTGACATAACAGCATCTCTAAAACATTGCACTTCGCTTTTTAAAAGGTGACTGTGGACTTTTCTTACCTGAAAGTGTGTTGTACCTTTTTAAGGATGTAGTGTGCAGTGTCAGAGTCGCTCCAGAAGAGTCTCCTTTGACTTCCTCAAGTTGGAATACATTGCAGCAAAAGTGTCTTTTGATCATAGAAAATTCATACGTTTGCCTTTCAGTAAATGTTCAACAACAACGACAACAAAAACTAGAACCAGACAGGACTCGTTCATTTTTATCTTCATTTTTCTATCATAAATTTGAAGATTTATCCATTCATGCTATGTGTACCAATAACTGTTCATTTAAAAGAACTAATGATATTCCTTTGCATGAGCATAGGAAGTAATTCTAGCCATTTACCCATCAATGGATATTGAGGTGACATTCAGATTCTGATTATTTTCTACAAACAAGTCTACATATGTCTTATTGTAGTCTTTCTTTAACTTATCTTACGGATATATACTTCAGAATGAAATATTTGTCTCATAAGATGAGTCTCTATTAAAATTTATGAGAAATCTCTACATTGTTATCAAATAATCAAGACATTTTACATGCTCACAATAAATATTTGATCTTTATGAGTTCCATGTATCCACTGATATTTATAGTTGACAACCTTTTTGGATTTTTAGTCATTCAGATGACTTGAAACTACAGCGTTATATTCTTATATTTTAACTAAAATGCCTATTGACCACTTGTATATCTTCTATCATGAAGCATATGCTCAAATAAAGATACTATTCTTTTTTATTTAGACAATTTCTATTTTTAATTTTAAATAATATTTTGAGCATTTTTTGTATTTGGCATGAAATAATGACTTAGACTTACATCTAGTTATTTAGAAATCATATTATAGTGCAGTGATGATGCACATCTTTAATCCCAGCACTCAGGAGGCAGAGGCAGGTGGATCTCTGTGAGTTCGAGGCCAGCCTGGTCTACAGGAGCTAGTTCCAGGACAGGCTCCAAATCTACAGAGAAACCTTGTCTCAAAAAACAGAAAACAAACAAACAAACAGTAATCATATTACATTGACACACAATGTGCCTCCGTTTGTTCAGCCCACATTCTAGGTGCACTAACATCAGTACACTTGGAGTCAGGCAATGTGCGTTCACCCACTTTATACTGCTTTGGAACAAGGCTCTCTCTTCAGTAATTTATTTGCATTTCCACAAAAATTAAAATTATTTCTTTTACTTTTTGAGATTATAATTATACCATTTCCTACTTCCTTTTCTTTCCTCGATACTCTCCCATATTCCCCCACTCACCCTTTTGGTTTTTAAAATTCATGGCATCTTTTTTTCACTAATTGGTGGTGGTGGTGGTGTGTGTGCAGTCTACATAATGTTACTATAGGTATATGTTTTCAGGCTGGTCAAGAAAACACTAGTTGGCTATCATAAAATTTTACAATCATTTTCTCAAATAAAGATAATATTGTTTGTTACATGTTTAGAATCTATGTATAAGAGGGAGAGAAAGAATGTGATATTACTATTGAGTCATTTTATGAACATCATATCTCTTTGTACTTTTCAAAACTTAACAATAATTTTGAAACAAAGATTGTACATATGCTTGGTTAAATTTAAATAAGCCTTTTGTTTGTATTTTTGTGTCTAAAATAGTAATTAAGTGATTAAGTAAAACTTTTTTCTAATTCTTTCATTTTATTATTAAGAAAAAATTAATACTGAGTTTGTCATCAGTACTTATGAAAAATTCATTTGTTGGTTCCAGGATTCTTATGGTATGCTTTAGAATTGCACACTTGGACTCTTGTCATCAAATAACCTCAGGATCACTCTTTACTTTGAAATATTTATGCTGATGTTAAATAGGATTGGTGAGAGCTGACAGTTTTATTTTGTTCTCACTTTAACTATAAATATAATAATTCACTATTGAGCATGGTGTGAGTTATGGGATTTTTATGGGTGCCTTTTATCAGATTCAGCAACTTCTCTGCTCGTCCCGGGTAGCTGAGCATTTTTATAATAAAAAAAAATGCTGAAGCATTTGGTCAAATGTTTTTCTGCATCTTTTAAAATAAATATATGTATTTTCAATTTGTGTGTTAAAGTGGTTAGCCTGTATTTATTTGCAGAATATGAAGACAATTTTGCATTTGTGTATTAAATATGGTTTATTTATAAAAATAGTATAATTTTCATGCATGGGATGATTTTATTTAGTTAAGGAGTTTTGTTTTGTTGTATAAGGAATTTGGGACTTTAACATTTTTATGATATCTTTGTCAGTCATTTGCAATATAGTTTACTACGCTCAAACAAAAGAGCTAGGAAATGCTTCCTTTTCCTCAGATTAAAAAAATGTTTATGTACAATGGAAATTAGATCTTTTCCAAACATTTAGTACAATTTAGAATTTCCGAGCGAGATAACAAACTTGCAATTTTTCACTTTTCATGATTGCTTGGAGTAAAATTTGATATTAATTAATTTTTAAAATTAGATATATGGCTAAACCTAACAGGTTTTATATTTTTATGTTATTTTTGTGTATGACAGAGTCTCATGATGGAGCTATTATCAAACTGGAATTACCTAGCCAGGCACACAAATATTGAAATTACAGACAACCCTCACTGATCATGCTAATGTATCTTATTTTTCAGAGTAGTTTCTATTTTCTTCCAAGCAGTCAAACTTTTACTATGAAGATTGTGTTTGTGTGTTGACTAACCCCTATTCCTTTAAAAGCCTATATCATTTTGTGAGTGTGGTACCATCATCTGCTAGATTTCATTAGTCCTTATGAAAGCACACCTGACATTTGTTTCTTGTTCCCACTATGTGTACTCTTTCTTAATTCATTACCTGGAATAAAGATTTGACTGTGTGAATTTCAGCCAGGGTTTCACCAAATAGTTTAGGATGGTCTGAAACTGACTATGCAGTCCAGACTGGCCTCAAACTCATCCCTCTCGGGCTTCAGTCTCCAGAGCTCTGGCATCAGGAGCTGGTCCCAATGCCACTGCCTTCTAGACACCTCCTTTAGGTTTGCCTCTCAACAATTGTTCTACATTTTGGAAAACTGCCCTACCTATCAGATTAAGTGCATGGTCTGTGTATGCTTTGCAAGCAAATAACTATCTTCACCTTTGTGATAGGAAACGAAAGAAGAGAATAGATACAGGGTAGGAGGAGGGCGAGAGAGACAGAAACGGACATTCTGCACTTTACCACTGGTCAGTTTACACAAAATATTCCCCATTGTCAGTACACAGCAGTGTGTTGTCAAGATTCCTCCTTGCTTATCTTGCATGGTTCACTGAGCTTCTCATAGCAACCGACTTTGATTTTGCTTCACATTGAGAATATTTTAGGGTACTCATTTTGTTTTGTTGAGACAGGGTTTCATGTAACCCAATTGGTGGCTAGACTTACAGTTGAGGCTGCTTACGATACTCCTACCTCCGACTCCCAAATGCCGAGATCTCCAGACCTGATAGGCCGTTATTTATTAACTGTATTATTTGGTCTATGTTCTCTTTTTCCTTTCTGAGACAAACTACCTGTGTGATAAGTGACTTAATTGTTCCCGTCAGGTTGCTGAGGTCTTAATTACCTTTTATTTCTTTTTCATTTTTCAGATTGAATAGTTTCTCTTTATCTGACATCATGCCATTGGGTTGACCACACCCCTATTCATAATCTAAATTATACACATCCAATGAATTTGAAAACTTGAGATTTTGTTTTTTCAGCGGTCTAGAGTTTTGTTTTGTTTTGTTTCTTCCTTTCTCATACTTTGTAAAGTATTTCAGTTGAAATTCTTCATGCATCCCTCATAAACATCATTCTATTAATTATGTGACATATCTATAGTTCCTGTATTGACCTCCTTGTGTGTTCATTTCAATCCTGGGTCTCCATGGGGTCTATTTTTATCGACTTCTCTTTCATAAGGATGATCACATTTTTCTGTTTTTCTCATGCCTACAAACACACATTCTTACAGTGCGTTTGTGGTGATAAAGTACAAACCTCCTGGATCCCATTTTCTTCCTCTGAAGATTTTGAATGCATCCTAAGTAGAGTAAACTTGCTGGAGCGTAGAGTGGAGGACGAGAGCATTTGATGCTTGAGAGACGGCTGATGGAAAGCTCTTGGTGCTTAACTTACATTTCTAAGTTCTTTTAAAAACCTGTCTAGTTGGTGCAAAGCACTGAAAACTCTACTCAAGTTTCTTTGTTTTCTTTTTAGTTCTTTCCAGTGGACTTCTTGGCATTCTGTGAATGATTGTTTTATGCAGAATCAATCAGTTAAACTGTGAGCAGATGTTAATACACAGGTGTAGATATCCACCCTTCCACAGCATCTCTCCAGTAGATTTTTTCATTCTGTTCTCCAAACATGAACTTTTGTTTTGCAAATCATATTATGATTATTATTATTATTATGGCTTGCTTATCAAGATGGGGTTTCTCTGTGTAGCCTTGTCTGTGCTGGAACTCATTTAGTAGACCAGATTTGTCTTGAACTCACAGAGATCCGCCTGTCTCAGCTTTCCAAGTGCTGGGATTAAAGGTGTGTGCCACCAAAGCCCATATCAAATATCAAATTTTTATAGTTCATGACTGATTTTTATTATGCTCAAAGTATCAAGTAATCAATTGTCACATTTCCCCCAAATTCACATTTTCATCTGATGGTATGTCAGACCAAGGTACATTGTCATGATCGTAACTAATAATTGGGTTTAATTTCTTTTACAAGTGACACAGGTAAAGGAATAAACAACTTTTGCAATTATTATAAAAATGTTTATATTAAAAAAGAATTTTTTAAAAATGAAAATTTTACAAACATTTACTATCTGGGTAGACATTTACAAAGTTACAAAATCAAAAGCGTTGTGTCTGGCAAATTGTTAAGTAAATTGTTTCCATTATATTCTTAAAATGTCCTGATGTTTGGAGAGGTAGCCTAGAATAGAAGCATTTACGTAGCAGGCATGAGACCTTTGATCTTACTGAATTTAATTTGATCCTAGATTTATCTACTAAATTCATATATTTGATTTGACTGACATGTGTATATTTCACACATAAAATATTTAACAAAATTTACTAAGAGCTAATTAGTAATAATCTGAATTATTTTGAGAGCACTGAATTCATTATAGAACACATCTGTTTGTCAGTGTCATAGGTTAGAGAATTTCCTTATCAACGACCTGACTCAGGCAGCTTTTCCTTATCAGGATCAGACAAAATAATTTTCTAGAAGGCTTTGTTTCCTCATTCTTGTCATTGCAAACATGAATTAGGTTGTAACAGTCAAAAGTTAATTCAAAGTATCTATAATGTCTTGTAATATGCCACAGAGGTTTTTCTTTCCTAAAGTCTGGTGGCTTTTCCCTGTAGAAAGCCCTGCTCTAAACTTTATTCACAAATAACTCCTTCTATTTAAACTCCAGTATAAAAGCCACTGTTTCCGCAAAATTACTATTTAAATGGAACGTGATGGGTTGTGGCATTTGATCCTAGAGGCTTCTCTCGTGTGTCTATTTTATTACATTTCTTTAATCGGTGTCTTACAAAAGTTTTATTCCCCTAAACTGTTTAACATGGCTCATGTCTGCATTAGGTACAGTGCTAGCTCCGTGGGGACATGATTAAAAATGTCTTAAACAAATGATGGTTGTTAAATGGTAGTGAACTTTAGTCATATTTAATTAGATATATAATCAAGTATAGTTTTTACATCATGATTTATATCAGCAAAAAAGTTTCCCCTTAAAAATTAAACTATGTATAGACACATGTGAAAGATGCAGTCTACTGGAGAAAGTATATTCATGCATGTCATTTCCTGGGATGTCAGTGTAGGGTTTTTGCTTTCCACCTGGCCATCTGGAAAACAAACGGGAGGGCAGAAGTGTGAGCAGTTTAGATTTGTTTAATTAAATTAATCAACAGTTAAAGCTACTAGTGATCCTAAGCATTTACTGTATGCCAAGGATCTTGTGAGATACCTTCCATGCATCCCTCTTCATTTTTCCCTACAGAACATCGCTGGAGCAATTGTCATTGTCCAGGTGTCAAAGTTAAGGGTGAGGCCTGAAAAGGCCCCGATGGGATGTGAGATCAACTTCTTCTACTAACAGAATCTGAAAATTTATTTCCAGGATATACAGCTTCCTAGAAAACCAGGTTTCTAATCTAAATTTTTAATTGTGCCTCCGTTGAGCAGTAAATGTAAATTTCTACTTGAATAATTATGACATGATTAGTGTGAAGGTTCTTGAAAGTAAACAGGGAGGAAAGCTGACATTGCTGATTTTAAACCATGTCATATTAAGACATAGAATTAGCAGGTACGTTAAGTTATGTGAAATATTTGAGTATCCCTAACAAATATCATCATTTTGTTATGATAATAATGCAGTGGTTATAAAACACGAAAAAATCTTATTGATTATTGACTCTAAATAACAAGTATCTACAGATTGATGGTATCAAATGCTTTACTTTGTGTATCTAATTAGAAAAAATGGATTTTAGAAGCTCTCCAATCTGTGTCTAAGATAAATACTGATAATCTTATCAAAATAATTGGTTATGTATTTTTTTTTTTTAGAAAAACTGTCCTGAATTGTTTCCTGAGTTGAAAACACTGGCGTTTTTATTACACTCGATTCAAGTCATTTCATTTATTTTTCAGGTGTCACCAAATTATCCGAGTCCATGCCAGCCATGTCGCTGTGATCCGGTTGGCTCCTTAGGTGAAGTCTGTGTCAAGGATGAGAAATATGCCCGGCGAGGTAGGCACAGTAGAGAGCTGCGCCCTGATGAAAGGGTGACGGCAAGTCAAACACCATCCTTTTCAGAGAGATTCCCAATAATTCCGTCCAAGCCGTCAGGATTCTGACATCTAACAGTGTGCTTTCTAGGATCCCATTTTTTTTCTTTTTCTTTTTTTAATTATTATTATTAATTTATAAAAATTTCCACTTCTTCCCCTCCTCCAAATACCCTCCCACTCTCCCCCCACTCTCCTCCTCCCTCTTCAGTCCAAAGAGCAGTCAGGGTTTCCTGCCCTGTGGGAAGTTCAAGTTCCTCCCCCCTCCCTCCAGGTCTAGGAAGGTGAGCATCCAAACAGACTAGGATCCCAAACAGCCAGTACATGCAGACGAAACAAGTCCCAGTGCCATTATCAATGGCTTCTCAGACAGCCCCCATGTCAGCCACATTCAGAGAATCCGGTTTGATCACATGCTCGTTCAGTCCCAGTCCAGCTGGCCTTGGTGAGCTCTCATTAGATCAGTCCCCTTGTATCAGTGGGTGAACGCACCCCTCGTGGTCCTGACTTCCTTGTTCATGTTCTCCATTTTTATTCTCCATAATAATTTATTTTGTGCTATACTATATTGTTTGGAAAGCAAAAAGAAATATAGAAGAAAGGAAAGAAAAAATATCATCTGCTCTGATATACGCATACAGTAACATGACATTTTATGGTAGAGATAAATTCTGAAAAATTTGTCCTAAAAAGTTTAGTTGTAGAAATATCTTAGTTTGCGTGATATAAACTAATGATATCACCAGGCAGTATAATCTTATGGGATCACTATTATTTACATGATGTGTTCTTGAGGAAAATGATGCTATCTGAGTTAGTCGTGTGTGTGTGTGTCTGAAGGAGGTAGGATGAGCATAAAGAGCGAAAGTGTTTATATATAAAACATACATATCATACATACAATTTTATGTCCTATTACTTAGACTGTTCTACAACTTCCACTGGGCCCAGTGTAGGTGTTTGGCGGTTGCACTGAGAGATTTGTGTGCAACACTGAGCAGCAAGAAGAGAGATCACATTATGAGAAGTAGGTGATTCCAAGTGTGCATGAAGGACTAGACAGTAGTACTAGTCTCATACTCATACTAGTAGTATGAGTTGAAACCCAATGCTCTGAGGAATACACTTTACAATAAACTCTCAACATCAAACAAACAAATGGCAAAATGATAAAATTCATATTTGGGAGCTAATTTCAATGTATTTGCTCTGGGTAATTTGAGTAGCGTCTTTAAAGTGGCAAGTAATGAAGACTGTGTGTATTTCTGACCTAACACCTTTGAAATTAAATCATGCCATCATGAATTCTTTCCTTTTTTAATGACAACTCAACTACAATTTTCAATAGTATTGTGTCACCAACAAAATCAGAACATTATTCAAAAAGTTATTAGAAATAGAAAATTTAGCCAGGCTGTGGAGGCACATGCCTTTAATCCCAGTACTCAGGAGGCAGAGAGAAGCAGGCAGAGGCAGGCAGATCTCTTTAAGTTCAAAACCAGCTTGGTCTACAATAGTTAGTTCCAGAGCAGTCTCCAAAGCTACAGAAACACTTTGTCTCTATAAACCAAAAAAAAAAGAAAAAGAAAGAAAAAAAGAAATAGAAGAATTAGAAAAATAAATGTATCATATAATGACAGCTTAGAAGCAATAAAAATGAAATTTCATAAAAAGAAAAAATTTTAATATTGCCCATCCTTTTTTACTTCACATTTTACCTTTTATTGGATCCTCAAAGGTGCTAACAGTTGAGTCTTCATATGGGTGATGGGAATTGAACCAGGGTTCTCTGGAAGAGCAGAAAGTGCTCCTAACCACCAATCCATCTTTCCAACTCCTATAATCAGGATTGTTTCGAAGCAAAAGTCTAACAAAAATTACTTTATTACATCTTTATCAATGTAAACTGAATGTTTATGGTGTTAAATCTTCTATATTTCATGGCCTTAATTAATATTTATCCAGCAATTTTACTTTTCTACTTCCTTTCCCGACATAAACATATGTTCTTTGTGTTTGTTATTTTCAGTCATATTTCACAACTCCTGTGTACATTATGCAAACATACTCTTGATAGAAATAGAGTGTATGCTTGACTTATTCATGTTTAATATTCATTTTGTTCAGTGACATGACATCTTATCATGATGTATTCTTGAATTTCATTACCCTTTGTTTTTATCTGATGAAGATCATATTTCATTGATTTGCTCTTATTTTGAAAGCCTGTTTCTTGCATTCATTCATTCAACATGTTTCCTATTTTCATAATCAAAGTCATGAACAAGAGACAGCAGTCTGCACCTTACAGACCAAAGTCGTTCTTGTGACCATATTATCTGTAACGTTTCTCTGTCAAAAGAACAGGGAAATTATAACAACTTTCATATCCCTCCTTCATGTCTGAAATCTGTTCCTATGGATGCCTTCTTTTTGAAAGTTAAAAAATTATTAATTTGCTGAGAATTTCTTACACTGAATGTTTATCACACTCACCCCACTAATCCAATTCCACCCCCATTCAGCCTTCCCTTTAGCATCACTGTGGGCATAAGAACATCACATTACCTTTGTAAACTTGTAAGTAGTCCATCTTTATTCCAAAGGACGTACCCATCTGCTATGGTATTCTGGGAAGGCTTGATTATGAGCTACCAGATATACTCAAGACACGGCTTATTCTTCCCAGTGTTCTGTCACAAGCTTTAACCTTTATGGAAAGCACCCCTTGGTCATTTTGTTCTTCTGCTACTGTTGGCATTTTCCATAGCCGTGGTATACAGAAATTGTAGCTTCATAGATGTTTCATGTCCTTCATTTTTCTTAAATTCCACATGTTTATGGTGTGTGTGTGGAAACATGTCTGTAGGTAGGTACATGGGCATGGTTTGCGGGCACGTATATGGGAAGTTAAAAGTTAACATAGGTTGTCTTCCTTCACAGTTGTCTACCTTGTCTTTCAACCCAGAATTCATCCATTTGATTACATGGACTGACCAACCAGCTCCAGTCATCTGCTTATTTCTATAAGCCCTAATCCTACTTCCCAGTGCTGGGGTTGTAGATATACACTGACCAATTCAATCTCTATGTGAATTCTAAGAATCGAAATCCATATCCTTATGCTTGCACGCTCCATTAGCTGAACCATCTCTTCAAATTTTATGCCTTACTTTTTTAATACTTTTAGATTTATTTATTTTATGTGTATAGATGTTTTGCTTGCATGTAAGTATGTGCACTATGTGAGTGCTTGGTACTGGCAGAAGCCAGAAGAGTTTGTTGGATCCTGAGAGCTGGAGTTACCTATGATCTTCAGTTACCATATTTGCTTGAAACCAAACCTGGTTCCTCTGTAAGAGCAACAGTGCTCTTAATGGCTGAACCATCCACCCAGTCCCTCTGAGGTCATTACTTAAAGACTCCAGATCTTTTAGTTATAGATTTACTGATGAACAGAAAAAGGCCATATAACCAACATGAACAGAGCTCAATATGAGTTCACAGAGCCTGGAGGAGAATGTTCAGGACCTGTACGGGTCAGCACCAGATCCTTAGTGTGTATTATGGCTTTCAGTTTATAGTGTTTTTATGAAATTCCTGGGTGTGAGAAAAGATGTGTTTCTGATTCTTGTGCCTTCTCCTGGAGTTCTTTTCCGTCTCTTCATTTGTATTGTCCAAATTAGATGTGATAGTTTTTGTTTTATCTTATGTGTTTTTCTTTTCTTTTTTATATATAAAAATCAATTAATGAATGAATGAAAACCTAGCCATTAGGGTAAAAGCTAACAATCAAACTGTCACGTATACTTGCTGGGAGAGGGAAAATCAGTTTTCTCCAAGAGAGTGACACTGGGGACATTAACCACAGTAGTACAGGCCTCATGCACAGGTAGCTGACAAACATAATGGAATGCACAGTTTTTGTGTGTACTCGTATTTGGTTACAGTTTGGTATGTGTGTATTCTCGTTTTTTGGGTGTTGCTGCATTTTGTTTCCTAGATTTTACTGTTGTATTAGGCTTTTATTTTTTTTGTTGAGAAAGTACTTAAAATTGGATAGGGAAGGGAAGAGGATTTGGAGGAACTTAGGGAAAGGAAGAATAGGGACCAAATATATTTAAATTTAAAATTGCTTTAAATTTTTAAATAATAAAATTTAAAAAACTAATTTTGTGATCAGAATTCAACTTAAAAGTTACTATAATTCAAACCTCAAAAATAAAATTGTGTGTTTCCTTCAAGAGTGCTGATATGCAATGCTTCTTTCTGCAGGTTTATTACCTGGATCCTGTCACTGCAAGCCTGGCTTTGGAGGCGTGAGCTGTGATCGGTGTGTGAGGGGCTACACTGGCTATCCAGACTGCCAACCTTGCAACTGCAGTGGCTTAGGGAGCACAAATGAGGACCCTTGTGTTGGACCCTGTAGCTGTAAGGTTCGTAGTTTAATCTAGCTGTGTCTCACTGTCAAGACAGAGGACAGCATCCCTTGGCTTCTCTGTTATGCCTGCTGCCATTAGGAACGTAAAGCTTCTTCGGTGCATATCTTTTAAGAGCATAACATTCTTGTAAGTGTCATTAAATGCTAACCAGGTTCACTGCCCCACCCCTGCATTTACGTAAATTCTCCAAATACATAGGCCCCTTTAGTGGTCTATGTCATTTTATAACAAATGATTTTTCTCCCATTGCACAAAAATGTGTGTACCACTTGAAAAGGTAGTTGTTTTAAATCTGTATGTATACACACACACACACACACACACATACATATACACCTTTGCAACTACTTCTGAAAAGAATTCGGTCAAAGATTTAAAAATATAATCCCCTGAAGTCTGAGTAGAGATAGGCCTTACGATTCTCACCATATTTGAACTCTTCCATCTAATTACCAGAGTGTAGGAAGGCATCGTTGAGTTGATTAAAGATGCGATGTGCTCTCCTATGGTTACTTTCAGAAAGGCCATTTTATTTTTTTAAATAGCCAGCCAATAGCTCGTCGTGATAACGCTGAAGGACATATTGCACCGGTAGCATTCACACACCTAGGAAACAGAGGCACATAGAAGTCTGAAAAGATGAGACTGATTTGCTTCAGCTACAGAAGTCTGTTCCATGCTACTCTGATTATTGCATAATTGTATTAAACAAGTGCATGAGCAATCTTTTAAAATGATGGCATGCCATATTATTACAAACATGAAAGCAATTTTGATATCTTTTATGGAGACTTACAAAGCAAGACAGTTAAATTAAGATTTTTAATAGCTTTTTCTTTCCTTTACTAATTTATTATGCTTATCTAGGAATATATGATAGTTGGTGTGTGTATTTTGCATATATGCATAAATATTATAGCATAATAAAATATTTTAATATCAATACATATTAGGAAAAGCATTTATAAAATATGTTATCTAGTATATTATGTGTGTAATTTATGTAAACTTACTATATGCAATAACAATAATAAAACTACATACATTTGTTTACATAATAGGCATGTATTATTTTAGAGACTATTGAACCATTTAGAGACTATTTAAGACAATTTATCTTGAGGTTGCACCACTTACTGCACACAGTGAGCAGAAAGCCACTGTGAAAGCGTTCTTGCCTTGAATATAATAAATTTTCTAGATTTAGTGCATTTCATTCTGGTATTATCTGTAATGAAAACTCTCTCCAAGACCAGCACTGGACAGCAGTGATTAGGTGGTGGCTTGCTTCAGGAACCACCTGCCTCTGGCCCACCCCCACCTCCATCCCCTGCTGAATGCTACCTGGGCAATCCTACAGCCTCAGTTCTTCTCCTCTCAGCTGCACTGAGAAAGCTCTTGTTTATGCTCCCTTCCTTTTTCCAAAGTGCTGCAGGTATCTCTCATTTTTGTCGCTTACTCCAGTGCAGGACAGGTAGAGCTAAACTTAAGGTGGAAAAGAAACTTCATGAGTCTGTAGAATACAGGCATTCAAGCAAGAGAAAGGATGCACTTTTAGATACATACTTTCAAAGAAAAGTTGTACATCTGCTATGTTTAAGAAAGGATTGACAGAGGAGAGGGGCAAGGTTCACTTCATTGACTTCTTTGGGAGATAGAACCAAGAAGGTGGAGAAAGGAGAGCTCTGGTGATTAGCTGTGCTCACAGGGAAAGTTCCTGGAGCTGGCTAGATACCAATTCATGAGAAGAGAGACTGTAATTCTAATGAGAAAAATGCCACCATGTCTTAGAGCACTTGATGCTCTAAAGACACCATTGAAATGCTACAATGAGAAGTAATTAGGACATCATAAATGAGATTTAAAAATTAACCAAAGAGCATCATCAAAAGCTAAGTCGTTCAACGGTGAGATATTTCAAATAGAAAGCATCAGAACTTAAGAAATGTTATGATAAAAAAATTGCAGAAAGCAAATTTCATAAGATGTAAGCACAACTGTAAAAATATAGAAAATATACACACAAAATGAATGAGTTATTTACATCAAAAATTCTGTCACAACATAATTATATCATGGTATTTTATAATGAACTATGTAACAATGTACAGACAATGCACTGTGATGGATTGCCCATCACCTCTCATTTACAAGAATAACAAATAGCTAAGTATCTAAAACAGCTATGCATATGATTTAAATGCTGAAAGGAACACCCACTAGTGCAGAAAGGAATGAGGTATCTTTTCTTTTTTAAAAAAAAGTATGGTTTTTAAATAGTTGTGCCAACTCTTTGAAAAATAATATTGTAAACAGAGGCTGCTTGTTCATTTCCCAGCCACCCACACCCAAATAATCACACAGAAACTACATTAATTACAACACTGGCTGATGACTTAGGAATATTTCTAGCTAGCTCTTGCATCTTAAATTAACCCATTTCTATTAATCTGTGTATGTCCACAAGGCTGTGTCTTACTGCAAAGGTTCCCATGGCATGCTTCTCCATTGGCAGCTATATGGAATCTCTTTGACTCTGCCTCCTCTCTCTATATATCCATGTTCTGATTTTCTGCCTGACTTTACCAATAAAGCAACACATGTACAGAAGAACATTTCACATCATCTTCCATTTTCTATCTAATTAAAAAGGAAGGTTTTCACTTTAGCATAGTAAAATTACATATAACAAAGCACTCATCAAGCCAGAGTTATAGTTACAATATTTAGTCCACTGACATGTGGCAAATTAAGGAAAATGCTCTGTCATCTGTCTTTGTAAGTATTAAGTTTCATATCTAATTTACCTTTTATCATAATGAAGGAAAACTATAACTATCTGTCTTCAACTCTTTGAAGATCCCAGAAGAATATAATATTAACTAAGTAAACAGGAAGTACATTGTAAGCAACGTTCTAACTCTATAATTGACAGAAGCATCTTGCTTGGTAGACAGCTACCCAAAGTTCTTGTGTAATATTGCGGCATCAATCTTCAGCCTACAGGCCCATAGTATCTGGCAGACTTTTCCATTAAGCAGGAAATTTGAAGGACTCTTTTGCCTCTAGTGGCAGTTGGTCAGTCACTTTCTTCTGTGTTCTGCAGAGTATCTGGCAGCCTTTATTATGAAGCAGGAACCCTGAAGGACTATTTCACCTTTTTTGGCAAGTTCAGCAGTAATTTTTCTGTGGGTTCTGCCTGTTCAGTTCATATAGCATACCATCAAGCCATCCAGGCAAGAGCAATTTCTTGCCCAAATGGCTAGCATTGTCACATTGAAGGCAAATTCCATAATGAGTTTTATCAATGTCCATCAACCTCTCTGAAGTATTTTGTGCTGCCAGAAGTAGGTATGTTTCCCTGTTGAGAAAAATCTAAATTCTTAAAATATTTTAAGTGTCATACTCTATAGGTCTTTAAAAGGTTTGAAGAATAGCTATTCATCTGAAATATATCTGTACATCTAGCAGACCTAACTAACAAGACTACAATTTGACTATTATAGATGACTATCTATTAATCTGTATTTCTTAATTATACATTAAATTTTTAAAATGAGAACTCAGTTGGTAGAGCATGAGACTCTTAATCTCAGGACTGTGGGTTCATGTCTCACATTGGACACCAATTTTTTGGCATACCAAAGAGTTCCACAATAGCCCAGAATGGAATATAGCAAAGGTTTATTTATTTTGGAATAAACTAATGGTAAGGGTAGCAATCCACAGTCCTCTGTGTGAGTTCAGAACTGGAACCAAATCCAGCATCATCTGTAATTTCATTTGGACTTATAGTACATGACACCATGGACAAAGCAGGCAGGTATCTCAAAGGCTATAGGTTGAAGGAGTTTCCACAACACAATACAGATCAAAATTTTTATGAGAATAAAAATGTAATTGGATATTTACAATAAAATGATCAATTCTATTTCAGTATAAAGTATGTTTGTAAGCATGTATATGCATGTAGTGAAAAATAATTGACTTTAAGAAAATATTCACTTTAAAGAGAATCTGTTTTCTTTAAGCATGTGGCCCCTGTTAGGTAGTACAGTCAGGTGGAAGGCAGACATCCAAGAGCATATAGACAGCACAAACTGGACTCGAGTTTAGACAAAGTTGATGGGCAGGGAAAGGGAAGAGTGGAGGTTAAGGGGAAAATGAATGTGATCAAAATACAGAGAAAATTCTCAAAAAACAAATAAAATAACAAAAATAGTCAAGAATGTAAAATGAAATTTAAAATGTGGAGCTAGCTGATACTACCAAACAGCACAGATAATCTGGGGAGAAGGAAATGAATGTTTGTCATTGTTATTAGGATGGATTAGGACCACTGACATCCTCAAGATGACTGTCCCCTGTGCTCTAGAAATGTCAGGACTAGACGTTTATCATAAACAAGTTTAACACCGCATTTTAAAAATTTACATAAAAGATGTTCTACACATAAATGCTTGGTATAATGAAACTAAGAAAAATAAACATCAGAAAAAAATCCCCAAAATGAATTATGGTAACCTCCCTTTCCTTGGCTGTGTTTGTAACCTCTGTATGTTCAGCTCAACATGCGATGAACAACCAGGGCTAGATAGCTACTGCTATAATAATTGTTTAATATGCACAAAACCCTAGATTTGGTCCCAAAAATACCATCAAGAAAACAAGGAACAGAAAGATAAATGTTTGAAAAGCAATTATATATATGGAACACTTTTCTCTTTTAACCCCATAAGTTCATGTAACAATGATTGGCATGTCAGGTACATTGTAGTCAGGTTTGTAATTAATCTTTGGATGGTTTAGCTGAGTAGAAGGATATACAAGGGTGACAAAGTTGGAACAAGATTTTATTTAAAAACCTGAGTATCAGTGATTGGGGACCCGCTAGTTCTTCTGTAGCCAATTCCTCAGAGACACTAAAAGTAACTAAATTTTCATTCAATATAATAAAAAGAAACAACTAAGGTGAGCACAGTAAATCTACTTGCATAAGGACTGATAAGTTCCAGAAACTTCAGTTAAAAAAATGGTTGCCATAAAATTTGTGTTCATGTCAACTGAAAAACACTTAATAACTGTTAATTTTTGTGTATGAACATACATGTAAAAAATTTTTAAATATACTGTATGATACCTAGTAAATTTAGAATAATAGTTGACTAGAGAAAAAGGTATCAAGTTAGATCTGAAATTAAATGACTGACTATAGTGTCTAGTAATAAACATATAGGTAAAGCAAATATGTACAATATCAGTCCTGTCTGATTACTAAGTTGTAGGTAATTGATATTATACAACATGCCTCTTTTTGATCCTCTAAAATAATTTCTAATTTAAAATATAGATAACTGGTGCTACAGAGGAATTTTCATATTTAACAGAGTTATAAAAATCCTTTACACTTGTAAAATATCAACTACACTGCTACTTTTTCACACAGGTTTTCTTTTCTAGATTTCTATGGAGAATAATATTAATAAATATGATCCTCATGTTTCTGAATATGAAAATTAGCTGAAGTGTTTCCAAATTGCTATGCCTTTTCCATTCTTCTTGAAAAGTCTTACCTTTTGCAAATCATGGTGCCAAGTCTGCTAAATGTAACAGTTACCTCCCTCTTGGTCATTGGACATATCCAGGTACCACATACTAGAAGTTGCCCCTTTTGTACTTTGGTGTTGTGCTCTTTATTTCAAATGAGTAGGATTGTAGAATGTGACAAATACTATAGTCTGGCCTTGATTCCAGAAGAAACACCTGACTTTATTTTTACCAAATATAAGACAAGAAATTAGAGTTCATGGTTCATTTTGTTTTTGCTTTCTATTTATTGCACTTTCTGTTGAGACCTTAGTAGTCCTCAAGACCATCAGGCCTCAATGTTCCTGTCTGGATTAATTGTGAGCATCTGCTACCATTTGTAGATGTGATTAAATCCCCAGTCCTCAGGCTTTCAGTGATTGGAGGTTTCTAAGTTCTTTCAAGCTGCTTACTAAACTTCATTTCTCCTCTTGTTTATTTTGTCTGATGATTTCAGTCTCAGCTTAATCTCCATGTTCCCTTCAAAGCTTTTTTGACTCTCCAATTAGGAAGCATTCTCCTGTGACAATCATTTTGCAATTTTCCTTTAAATATTTTCTGCATTTGAATTCTATTTGTGTCTGTCTTACTTCTGGTGATGAGATGAAACCTATGAAATGCCATCATCGTCACTCAAAAAGAAGGTAGCACAATGATTATAAGAAAGAAGGGAGGAAAAGAATCAAACATTATGTACTTTGGCAGTCCATTATTTGTCCCATTTAATACTGCTTAATTATCTATACAGCAACGATACTGAGTATATCTTACCTAAATCTCATTAGGTATAACTAGAAAACAACCTCTGTGCAGAATTGTAGATCCAAGTGAGGTTATTTTTGGTTGATTGTTGCTTTGATTTTTCACAAGTACTGAGAAAAGCCCACTCATTGTCTGGTTCTTTTGTGACATTTTCATGTTTTATACATTCTGAATTTCTCTCTTTGTTGTTTGTGTTCAGGAATAGTTATCCCATTAGTTTATAAGACTTAAAATCATAGCATTTCAATGAAGAATTTTGATGCAAATAATTTGATCTCTAATCAAAATTTCATAGAGAAAACATAACAGTAACATAAATCTCTCTCTCTCTCTCTCTCTCTCTCTCTCACACACACACACACACACACACATGCACACAAACATACACACACATACACACACGAGTGAGAAAGATTCTTTACTTACCCAACATTAGATAGGATCCTCTAACCTCTCCTTTTGTCTAAACCTTTCCTTTGGTCTTCATCCTAAAGTCTAAGAGAGTCTAATAAGAACCCTCATAAATCAGCCTCTCGTGAGTCCTTCATCTTTCCCATTAGAGCAATCTGCCCTGCCTTCTGCAAGCAAGCTGCTGGGGAGTTTTAACAAGAATTGTACCTATTTTTAATATTCTCTGTTGGTAGCTTTCTCTGGCTTCACCCTCTTGTGTTCTGTTTATAAAGCCCCACTTATCATTGGTGCATTTAGAACAAAACCCTGTTGTGCACTGAGATCTTATTTGAATAGCTACTGGGTAAAAAACTGGTTTTGACCATTTAAACTAGAAAATGGGTATTCCTTTTAAACAACATTGAATAAAACTTAGTTTGTGAGAAGTGAAACTCTCTCATTTCTTTTCATCTTTCCCTAAACCAATTATTATCTAAAGAATATGCACTCAACAAACATTGCTACTTAAGTATTTATCCTTCTATGTGTTAACTTATTTCAATCTAAGACACATTAAAATAAATGCCTTTATGAGAGAAAAACATATAATTGACTATACAGGCCTCAAAACCTTAGCATGACTTCAAAATTTAGTAATTTTCATTAAAATAAAAAGCAATTATCATTAAAATAAAAAATAACTTAAATATCACTATAGATGTTCTCAGGAACTGTGTCAATGGAATTCCCAGTTGACTAACGATCACAGTTAAGCACACGCTGTGGAAGTTGTACCTAATTTATAAGGTGGCAGCTTCATGAGACTCAGAATGGAAAAGCTATTGTGACTCTGTTTCTCCAGAGAGAGGCTATACTGAGGAAGCCATCGTGAAAAGAAAATTGATGTCAGCTCAACAGCATCTGACTTGAAGGGAAAAAAAATAGCTACATAGAAAGGTTTTTCAAATTTAGCTTTTTGTGGCAAAAATAGTTGTAAAGAAATAAAGGGCAGCCACTAAGAGTCTTTTGTAGGATAGACCGCAATATCTTTTAATTAGGCATTTTTGCTGTGTGTAATCAATGGAACTATGAGAGTAAAGTGAGCATGCCTTCCTGAGAAGGTGGGTGTTAGTTCAGGAGGGAAAAAATGTTAATTTTACATGTGAGATAAGTGTGTTCCTACAGTAAAGCTATACATACAGGTCATCTGCAGCTTTAAGGTTTCTTAGTAAAGATTATGATGCTAATATGACCAGGCATGCCCTTTGAGGGCCATGGTAATAAAAAATAGTTTGAATACATTGAAAACACTGGTAACACTTTTAATATCACATCATGGAAGAATGTGCTATCTATTATATGGAATATTTACAATGAGAAGTCTATTGGCTATGATTGGTTCATATTTAAAAGTTAGTATATGCAGTTAGAACAATCAAGAAATGACCAGTGAATGTTTATTAGGAATAGTTATTTCCGGAATAAAAGTGAGGAACCTGGAAATTGTACCATTTCATTGGCTTCAGTGCAGAAACGATCATTAAATATGTAAATTAGCAAATCACTAATGGACTCTAAACACTTAAAATATCAAAATAAATTGACAAAAGCTGCCCTCCAGAAGTGATTAGGGATTTAATGGAGTAGCCTCTGATAACTTAGATGAAATTAAGAGACATTTAATATTTTTGAAACATCAAATTATACTGGTAACTCTTTAAAAGGCCATCAGTACAAAGAAGTAGCAGAACAAAAAGAAGGGAAAATATCATAATAAAAATAGCTCTCAATGTTAGAAGTTCAGGATGTGTTGTTCTCCCACCTGTAGTCTGGGGACCAGTGGGATTGTCTGCCAATCTTAGAATGTAATAGGTAAGAAAAGAACAAAAACCATGGTTTTTATCTACTTATTTTGGGAAACAGCCTTTAGTAGGTACTACACTTAAAAGGTTCCCAGCTGCAGAGGACAATGTTGCAATAGCTTATTTTTGTGATGGGGAAAACAGAATGCATCTTTTGTATCAATTCTGTCACTTTTCTGCTTATTCTTCCTTCAGGGACTTAGGGACTGTGGTGGTAATCTGGTGTCAGCCATGGCATATGCTCTTTGTACAAGTCTCAGAGCAGGGATTTTTTTCCAATGTGTACTAGGATATCTGTACATTTTCCAGTTGTTTTTGCTACAATCCTCTGGAGTAAAGATTTCTATTTCCTACCATACCTGGACACAGAGCTCCGACTGGATGAATGAGTCACAGACAGAAATAATGTGCAAAGCATTTATTAACAGTTTGATGGGGGCAACAAAGGAAATTAAGTTTTGCAGAGAGCTCTCCTGTAGATCAGAAGGTTCACTCTTACGCAAAGTCAAAACATGCAAGTTCCAAATCTCAGCAATCAAAAAGATCTTCCTGTATGAAATGGGGATACAGTAAGAGGCTGACTTGTGGATGGAATGTTGAGTCACAGGTTTAAAACATAAAACCCCAAAACATAAGGCCCCAAACCTACAGGAAGAGTAAAACTCAGGCTTCCAAGATCATGTTAGTGTGAAAGTACTATTTACACAGATGATTGTGTAACATACACTGTCTAAGCTGAGGGTCCTTTGGCATTGTTCATGCACACATAAAAGTCCTAGAATTACGTCTGCATCTAAATGATGCTACTATCTGTGACATGAAGTGCATGCATCACACCATTGTGTTCTTCAGTAATCACTTTGAAAACTAGCAATTCTAAAGAAACATTTTCAAACATATCACTATACATCAACTGTAGGATGTGCTGTCACGGGGGCTTTTTCCTGAGCAGATCTGGAAAAAGAAGGAGAACTTAATAAGTGTAGCTTTTCCCCGTTGAGGTCTCTAAAAGGTAGAGTTCTAGTGAACTAAGCAGAGTGGCTCAGATTGTGACCTTTTTTTTTTTGCCAAATTCAAAAGACCCTGTCAGGAGCAGTATTAGTTTTCCTGTTACTATGACCAAATAGCCAATAAGAAGCAACTTGATGGAGAGAGTGTTTACTATGACTTAACTGTTTCAGCAGTTGGAGGAGATACAGTCCTTCATGGTACAGATGTTACCGGAGATAGGGTAGCTGCATCACGGAAAAAGAGAATGAACAGGAAGTAGGCTAGATGATGAAAACACCAGAATCTAAGTGCAGTGATGCACTTTTTCTAGCAAGGCTCTAGCTCCTGAAGATTCAACAAGCTTCTAGAATAGTCCTGTCCTCTGGAAAGCAAGGGTTAAGTGCTTGTGTCTACAGGGGCATTTCATATTCAGACTACAGCAGAAGCGATAGAGGTCCTGACATAAGTAGATTTTATATTCACCACCATTTCTATTTAGTTGTGTGTTAACATGAGTCTCTGGTAGAGCCTGGCAACAGTTAGAGTCTTGCAATTTGGGTTTAATGAGTGCACTTTAATCTCATCAAACATAATTAACATAAAAGCTCCTTGTAAAGATGTTATGTGAATCACGTAACACTCAGAACTAGAGGAGAGCTCTGCTTTCCAAAGTGACCAGTAAGCATCTGTAGACAAACTGAAGATAAAGTACAGGAATAACTGGATTGGTTACGTCTAGGCAGTTCCCCTTATTTAAACTAGATCTAACTAGTTAGCAGACTCTGTTTAGCTCAAGTTCAGATGCTTGAGACAGGTTAACACTCATTGGTTACGACATAATGCTCTAAATAAGGTTTTTGTTTTTATGACATTTTGATAAATTTCAGCTTATTCTGAAAAAAAAACTGAAGGATTTGCTTGAGAACTGTAAACTGGACCTAAAATACTTTAGTTCAAATCATAGTTAAACTAAACGAGACAAAACCAGCAGTTGTATGCCGTGTTCTGACTCATCTATGAATGCTTTATTGGTGTTTGGGGGTTCCTGGAGACCACAGAAGTTTCAGTGACTTCTTAGAATGACTTTCAGTGTTTGTGAAAATGTGTTATATTCATGTTACACTTTATCACATGAGCAGCTTCAGATGAGAAAAACTGCAGACAGAAGATACACATTGAAGAGCCCAGGAGAAACAAAGCAAAAGATTCTTTCCGGCTCTCACTGTGGAAGCATGCAGGATGGGTAATCGCCTACCATGTGTGACGAGGATGGAGTACTGCTAACTAAGGAAGCTCACTCAACTCTTGCACTCAGGGTCTTGTTGAAGAGATAGTTACGTCAGTATGGGATGCTCAAGTGGCAAATATTTACTTCATCTGTATTAGCCATGGAGTCTCACTGATACAGCAAGACTCTGGAGCCTCCAGATGAGTGAGATAAGACATTTAGTGGAGTCCTAATAGAAAGTAGCTAATAGGAACCTAGTTAACACAGACACAAAGCAATTTAGAAGTCTGACACAAGTATCTTTGGCTTAGCTCCCTGCAGGGGAATTTCATTTGTATTTTAATAAATAAAGCTTGCCTGAAAATCAGAGAGTAAAGCAGCCTCGCTGGTCAATCTTACAGCCCACTCAGTGGTAACACACATCTTTAATCCCAGGAGCCACAGTAGTTGCCACAGAAACAGGGCGGTGAATGCCTTTAATCCCAGTGGTGCACACCTTTAATCCCACTCCTAGAGAGGATTATAAAATGGGAGGAGACAACTCTACTCTTAGTCTTATTCTGAGATTCCTGGAGGCAGGAGCGCCATTTCTGACTGAGGTCAAAGTAAGAGCCAGTGCCTGGCTGTCTTGTTTATGTGTCACTGATTTTTATTAATCGTGCCTTAGTTCCCCATAACATAGCGGTTATCAACCTTTGGGTCACAACCCCACTGGCAAGCATCTTCCTCCAAAAATATTTACATTATGATTCATAAAAGTAGCAAGATTACAGTTATGAAATAGCAATAAAAATAATTTTATGGTTGAGGGGGTCACCACAGCATAAGGCACTATATTAAAGGGCTGCAGCGTTAAGAAGGCTCAGAACCACTGCTCTAATATAACATTCATTGTTAGATGATGTGTTTAAACATACAAACCTGTTGAGTTAACCCATTCCCGTACTGTATAGTAGTGAAATATTTCTGTGTTCCACTATCTCACATCTCATAAGCATTTTACTTATTACTGTCAACTACCTCAGTTATAATTCTGTGAATTTGTCTACTGCTTAGCTCACCTTAATTACCTCTCAGATCCTAAGAGAAGAGGTTCTGTCTCTTAGGATACCCTTAAATGTCAATTATTTGACAGTCAGTCTTTAATTTTAAATAACAAATGAAATTTTTACCATATAGGAATGTTTCAGTGAGTTTATTGTGGAATAATAAGTAACAAATGAAGCTTCCTTCATATTAAACATTATTTTCATTGTCTTTGCAAGCATAGATGTCTCCCTATACGTACTGACAAGTATAACTTTTAAACTATGCTTCAAGGTTTATTTGCAATTCCCTTCCCATCATAAAGCCTTCACAGGAAGAATTTGTTCTTCCTTAAGTGTGTTCTCATAAGCTAATTTGCTTCGGAGATGCACTGCCCATGTTCCACCTCGCTGCAAAGTTGATTTCAGGTGCATCCTTTTATCGAGATATACACTGGCTTTTAAGGACAGGGACCTTGACTCTACTCTCGTCTCCTACAGTACCTAGAATTCCCACTTTAGTGTGCTGCTTCAGGTTATTAGATTAAACTGAATATGCAGTGATTTATTTATAAATTTTCTCAAGGTCACATTACAAAGCTAAAGTGAAGCTAAGGGATTTGTAGCTGATGTCTAAAAAATTTTCTAATTGTTTAGCTCAGTCTGAATCTCAGAAAAGTGGCATTATTTGCTTCCAATTTAGAGTAAATGAAAAGTAGACTAGAGAGAGCCCAGAAGAACACAATGTTCAGACCAGCTGTACTGTGTCTTCAACAGAAAAAGCTAAATTTTATAATTTAGAAATGCTTCATCTTTCCTGCCTGTCCAATCTTTTGAAGATTCTCCTTTCAGCTTTGGGGATTTTTTTTGTCCCTAGAGGTCTGAGAGTAGATGTCTTACCTTTGCTGACATCTATTGTCACAAAATATTTGGAATCAGCCTGGAAAATTTAAAACTGGTGAGAATGCTAGTAACCACACTTCATTTTCTATACATAGCCGAACTAAATATGAAGACATGGAATGGTATTGTAGGCATGCAACTCTGCTAAGGACTCATCAAATGCAAAAATATTTGGAGTTATGAACAGGTCATGAATATGAAGAGCCAAAAATCAAAGTTTAAATGAATCTCTCAGGTCTAAGAAGAATCTCTTTGTTTGTTCTTGCAAATTTCTCCTTATTTGGGGACCATTTTCTGTCTTCTGTTTTTATATTTTTTACCAACCAATAGTCTCAAAATTGGCTTCCTACATATGTTTGTGTATGTGTGAATGTATGTGTTGGTTTGTCTATGTGAACATTCATGTGGAAGCCAGAGAAGGCCATGTTGGGTGTATTCCTCTATTAAACTCCACGTTTATATTTTGAGACAGGGGACTTTCACTGAATTTAGGGTCTGCTGATTTTGCTCAGATTGGTTATCCAAGAAGTCTGACTTTGAATTCCCAGTACTGGGATTAGAGGCTCATACTGCACACCCAGAGTCTACTGCTATGCTTGTTCTTTTGTTGTTTTCTTTTGTTTGTTAACTTGAATGTTTGTGCTAGAACTCAGGTTTTGGGCTTGTGCAGCAAGCACTTTGCCAACTAGACCTTCTCCCTAGCCTTTCTTATTATATATCTTTGTAACAAGAAGGGACCGGGCCTGCTTGTTGGGGTGATTTTTCTCTGGGACTAAACAGCTGGGGGGCTGGGCAGGACAGAAATCCGAATAAGCAGGCCAGGCCCCATCATGTTACAGAATGGCGCCCACGTGGATAACTGAATCCACAGAAAGCCTGGGAACGCTTGGGAAAGATTAGAGTAAAACATTTCAGTTTTCAGCCGTAGCAGGAAAAAAGCTGCTCTGTTTTAAAATGCCGGCTTTCTGGGCAGTCCTGCCAGGGAAAACTCTGACTATTTCAAGCAGGCATCCTGATGGATACAATGTTGCAGTTTGCTTCCTGACAAGGACCTTGAAACACCATAGGAGCTTTTGAGTGTTGTCTTCTCCATATTCCTTAGCAAATTAAAGACCCACATGGTCAGAAAGAGAGAGAGAGTTACAGTAAAGAAAGATTCAAAAAAAAAAAAAACCTCTAAACGGTTTAAAGTCCTTAAGAAAGAAAGAAAGAAAGAGAGTGGTAGGGTGTGGTGGTACGCACCTTTAATCCCAAGGTTTAGGAGGCAGAGGCAGACAGACCTCTGTAAATTCAAGATGTGGTGGCAGACACCTTTAATCCCAGCACTGGGGAGGCAGAAACAGACGGATCTCTGGGAGTTCAAGGATAGCCTGGTCTACAGAGGGAGTTCCAGGACAAAGATATACAGAGAACCTGTCTCAAAAAGTTAAAATTAAAAATAAAAGAAATAGAGGTTAAAAAAAAGCCACATAACGATGGAAAATACACAGAGAATCTTAATACTGTATGCTATTATGCTCTCTTTGAATTGTTTAAATGCCGAGGAAGGAGCAACAGCTGCTAAAAAATATTGTTTTATAAATGCTGCAGAATTAATCCAAGATAGTTATTTTGAAAATACCTTGGCTTCAAAATTGAAGTCAAAAGGTATGTTACTTTGGAGAAGAGATTTTGCTTTTGTTTCCACAGAAAATGAGAGGCTGTGAATTTATTCAGAGTTAAGAAAAATCATCTTTAATCAAGGGAAATCCCCTGAAAAATCTCCGGTAGGAACAGATGGTCCAGATGTCTGAGTTCTTCATCTAGAACAGATTCGAGACTGCTGCCTGAGATGATCAAGACTCACAGGATACTTCAGTCAGGACTTGATCATAACTCTAAATTTCCTTTAGGTCCCCATAAGATTATCAGTGCCCCCAACCAGCTGAAAGTAGCCCATATTCCCAAAAAATGGACTATGGATATTTTCCTTTTTTTAAAAAAAAAAAAAATGAGGGGGAAGTGGTGCTGGAGAATTGTCTGTATTCTGTCAATCATGTTTTAAATAAATGCTGATTGGCCAGGCAGGAGGTATAGGTGGGAAAAACAAACAGGAAGTGGAAATGATGCAAGGAGAGCAGGAGAATTCTGGGGAGGAGGAAGCTGATTACTTGCACTCCTGCCCAGATCACCGAAGCAGCAGGATGTGAGATGCCCCACTGAAAAAGGTACTGAGCCACATGGCTAACATAGATCAGAAAAATGGGTTAATCAAGATGTGAGAGTTAGCCAGTAAGAAACCTGACCTAATGGGCCAATCAGCATTATAACTTACAGAGTCCTCTGTGGTTGATTTTCTCTGGGACTAAACAGCTGGCTGTGGGGGGCTGAGCAGGACAGAAATTCAAACAAGCAAGCCTCCCTCATGTTACATATCTTTAATAAGCATCCACAATGTGCATAACATTTCAATATGCATAAAAATACTACCACCAAGCAATATGTTTAATCTTAATAAAGCTGTATGAAGTATGGAGCCATTTCTCAACATTGACAAGGAAACTTATTATTTTCTGGGAATATTTGCATGGGAGGGTTTCTGCTGTGTGCTATGTGATAACCCTGTGCACCTGACTTTGTGTTTTTATTAATTAAATAAAATCTACCTTGTGTCAAGAGATAGGGCTAGCAACTAGTTGACAGAAATTATTATAAAGAGTAATAGACTGTATGGAAGACAGTAGAGACACATACAGAAGTAGCAAGGAGGGACTTTGGGTGTGGTGGTCTCTTTTGATTTGGCAGAGCGGAAGGACACTATCTTTCAGAGACACTGGCAAAGAAAGAAGGTCAGCTAGTTGCTCCTCAACCTCTCTGAGCTGGCAGGTTTTTATGCCAGCCTCTGGTTCTCAGGTTTTATTGATAATAGAACAATAGAGGTTTAGTTAAAACTGCATTCAACCACAGGGACAGGAGGCAGATCCAGAGAGACATAAAAGTCCCCTAGGGGCTGCTCCTCTGAAGCCTCGATTATTGGCAGAACCAGTACTTGATTCAGGTGCAGCCGCTGTACTGGAAATACAACAACAGGCTTCCATCTCTGACTAAATATGACATGGATTTGGAGAGAATAATCTCCAGTGTGGTTTTGTGATGATAATAAAGCAGGGCATTTGAAGCTACAGAAACAGTAAGGAAACACGTTATCTGTCTAAGGAAAGGGCAAACTATACAATGGGGAAGAAGGAGAAGGCAAAAAGGAGGGGGAGAGAGAGTCATGCATGCTCAGCGATGCTGGAAATTTATTTCCTGCAGAGCAAGCCTTCATTTGGAGGTAGAAATCAGAATTAACTACTTCTTAAACTAAGAGATGACCCCTCTCTACCAGGCTTTCACTGTGTAGTCAGCTTCCATTGGTCTGAGAAGACAATATAGCCTCACCTAAAAGCAAACACATTTTCTGTGTACTGGGAGTAGGATTAATGATCCTAATCTAGAGAACAGTCACTAAATAAGAATGAATTTTCTCTATAATATTGCTCTATAAATAACCTACTAGGCCAGGCAACACTGTAAAAAAATTTAAGCAGGGAAAAGTGTCTCTCTTTTCTACTTATCTACAGATATTCACCCCAAACTCTCCACCTCTTGAATTTGTCTGCTTACCACAAATGCATCTGTTTTTAACCTATAATATGAAGGCATTTGGCAATCTTTGTATAATAGAAATGTTTTAATTTCATCACATATTTGAAGGTCAAGATGCTCACAGAATGATGAGCTTAATATTGTCTCCATGTTCATCAGACTAACACATTTTTTGATTTAGCATATTTAATCTACATTCTTAATAAATATCAAAATAAAAGTCTGAGTGTAGTGCTTAGTACTCAGTAAACCCCACAATACACACAGACTGTGATGTTCGAACAACAGGGTTAACAGGAAACTTGAGAACAATCGCTTTCCATTACATGGCTGTGCTTTAAAAGTAAGTGCGAAGGTAAAATGAGGACTACAGTCATGTTTTCCTTATGCAAGCATAGATCTAGCTCTTGCTTCGAAGAGCCTCTGTTGCTAACACACCTCTCTACATTTTCAGGAGAATGTTGAAGGTGAAGACTGCAGCCGTTGCAAATCTGGCTTCTTCAACTTGCAAGAGGATAATCCCAAAGGCTGTGAGGAGTGCTTCTGTTCAGGGGTGTCTAACAGATGTCAGAGTTCCTACTGGACCTATGGAAATGTAAGGGTGCTCATTGCCCTCGACGCGCTGCACCATGCTCCTGCTTCTCCCTGTCTCTGCTATTTTTGTTCTTTTGTTGGAAACTGAAAAAAAAATCCAACAACAACCAAAACACAAAAGCAAACCAATGAGAACAACCTTAGATACAACTTAGACTTGTCCAGAAGGAAAGCGTAAGGCATTTCCTTCAAATGCTGTTTTTGTACTTTGCCTCAAAACATTTCAGATTGTATGTGTGGCCCAGAGAGATAACTCAGTGTTTTCTGTTCTTAAAGAGGACTGGAGTTTGGCTCCTAATACACATAGCAGGAAGCTCACAATTGACCGTAACTCTAGCTCCCGGGAATCTGATGTCTTCTTTTGACCTCGATGGGTATCCACCCTCATGCACATACCTTATACAAACACACACACCACACTCCCAAACAACTAAAATAATCTTTATTAAAGTATTGTAAGTGTTTTGACTGAGTCATCTTTGAGACAGAGACAACCCTTTCAGGTCCCCTGTGTGAAACATAATGAAAATCATGTTGCTTTCATCCCAAACACAGGATGTATGAGAGAAAACATACAATCACAATAGTAAATATTACATTTCCATTCACAAATATAATCTACGTGTCACTTAATAAAAACCTGTCTTGTCAGCTCTTCAGGAATAAATGAGACTGTCTTTCTAAAACAAACACATGTTACATGTCTGCCCACATTGCCCACCATGCTCCACATGGCCTGTCTGCAGAGAGCCATTTGTTTCCCTGTAGAAAAAATGTAAGAAGAAAACGGGATTTGGGGAAAGTGCCATAATCACCTTGTCTGAACTTTGAGTGCAGACCATATAAGGAAGTAGGCTGGGAGAATAGACACAGTGAATGAAGACGCAGATCTCTGGAGAGAGACCCTGGAGACACTGTGGGGTTCTTCCTGGAGAGTTATTAATCAATTGTGAACAGCAGAGAGGCATGCCAGAGTCACGTGTTACAGACTGATATTTTGATAAGCTCTCTCCTAAGCACTTCTTCCAGCTTCGATCTGCAAACTACTCCAGAGCACAATCATGAAATGTTTTTCTATCTATATCGCTTTTAAGTCAAGTAGCTTTTGACTGTACTCTTGTGTCTGAGTGAGGATCCCTAGATACTTATCCAATGTATTGATTTCAAAGAAAACTTCAAAGTAACAATAACAAATGGACTCAAAGTCTAACTTCTTCATTCTGTTTACAGAGTCATGCTTAACAGTTCCTCACAACTCCACTGCTAAATTTAAGTTTTATGGTTTGTCAAGTTACAGGGAAGTGATCCCACTCAAGTCTTGGTTTTCATAATCAAGATCCACAATCTTATTCAGATGTCTCAGAACACCTGAAAGACAGCTAAAGTTAGATAGGGAAGCAGATGTCAGAATTTACTATTGTCTACTTAGCCAATGGCCTTTGACCCGGTTTGGTCTTTTCTTTTGAGCAAAGCTGTCTTAGATATCCCAAAACTTTAAAGGTGAACAAAAAAATCAAATAATCTCTACAAAAAAAGAAAATTAATAGTTATAATTAGTCTATACATTGTCAACCTTAATACCCTGGTTGCTATCAATCAGTTGTGACACCAGCTATACCTTGGGCAGTAGTATTCTGAAACTGGAGGTGATTAACCTTGGTTACCAACTTGACTAGACTGAGGGTTGAGAAGGACTTAAGTAGAGTACTCCCCGCATATAGGCAAAGATGTCTGGGTTACATGGATTCTCGTTTCATAGATGGTTTATCCTACAGGTAGATTAAAATGTTGAATAGACAATTGGGAGATGGTATTAATGTTGTAAGTGGGGCCTGGTAAGAGGAAACAAGTCCAAAGGAAAGGTTTGGGGAAGATAAATCAGATCATGAATTCTTCCACTCTATACTCTGCCCACCAAGCATCATGAGTTAATTGGATCTTCTCCACCAGAAACTGACCACTGTGATGAACAAATCTTATGGAACCTAGAAGCAAAATAAATCCTTCCCACGTTAGGTATTCTGTCACAGTGGCAATGAGGCTAATGCAACCCTGGTGTCTTAACTAGAAAGGATGGCTTCAGTTGGAAGTAGAAGGTAGACCTGACTTTGACTGGGGTATAACACTGTAAAGCAAATCATTACAAAATCATTACTCATTTTTTTCTCCTACTTTAAAGTGATTTCCTTTTCTGGCCCAGGCTATAAGTCCCCAGAGTACTTAAGTCATGTGGGAAAGTATATATTCAGCTTTGGTATATGTTGTCATAGCAACATTCTTGTGGATTCAAATGACCTGGAGCCTCAAAACAAAACATTTATAAAGAAGGAAGAATTGAAATATTGAATGAAAAACTACCCTTTAGGTCTTGCATGTATGATTTCCTTTTGTACTCTGTTTCATGAATACTAATGCAACACTTGTGAGGTAATAGGTTTCATAAAACAGTTATAAATATTACTGAAGTGAAAAGTGTAAAATTCTAAGTCAAATTATTTGGTAAATTATATGACATTATAACCATTGTATGAGTTAGAATCAATTTCTATTTTTGGTTAAGCTACCAACATGCTTGCAATGCAAGCATGAGAACCTGAATTAAAATCCCTAGGACTCACATAAATGGCCTTGTGCCATGGGGTAAGACAATAACCCCAGAACTGGGGAGACAGAGATGGGAGGGTCCTGCGCTTGAAGGCCACTCTAACCAAATCAGTGCCAGGAAAGTTAGAGAATATGTCTCCAAACCTGAATGGTGAAGGAACTGAGGAAGGAAGTAGGTGCTAATCTCTGACCTCACCACATGCACTCACACTGTATCTGCACGCTCGTATGCCCAGACACATCTGCCACACAGGCATGCTCATACACATGTGTAAGCATGCATACCTGGCCCTTGGAGTCACTTTTTAAAGAGTAGTAAAAACTGAATTTTACATGGGTCAACCAAGATTCTCAAAAGAATCAATTAAAAAATAAAGAATGGATTCTATGTGACTATACATGGTAAGTGTGGTGATATACACACCAGATACAGTCCCTACGGTTTTTAAGTGTCTGTAGCTTTTCCCCACTCTTAATTTCAAAACCAGAAAGCTCAATGCTGGATAAAATGAACTACTTCTACCTTTTTCTTGTGTGTGTGTGTGTGTGTGTGTGTGTGTGTGTGTGTGTGTGTTGTTTTTGTTTTTGTAACCAGGGACTGTTATATTTTCTTTAAGATTCAAGATATGCGTGGCTGGTATCTCACAGACATCTCAGGCCGCATTCAGGTGGCTCCCCAACTTGATGATCCAGAATCACCTCAGCAGATCAGCATCAGTAACTCTGAGGCACGGAAGTCCCTCCTGAATGGATACTACTGGAGGGCACCAGCTCCATATCTGGGAAATAAAGTAAGTCCATTCTGATGGAAACTGTATCTTAACTGGCCTATCTAGAAAGTGAGCTTTAGTTAATATTTTTTAATTGAAGTCAAACATCTACTGTATTAGATTTCCAGGAGCAACATAATGAGATAAGTTGGACAATGTCCACATGACATGACTGATAAAAAGTAGGAGATAGCAAAAGTGTTTGACAGCTTAAGATTTTTATATTGGTTCTAGGTAAGCTTTTTGAAACAGTGAATATTAATGTTATCTCTAGAGTCTTTTGGAAAACATATTTCAGATGTTGGAGTAAACAATGATATATTTATTTAAATACAACTGTTTTTACGGTAGTCTAGGGTGGCATATTTTATAAAGTTCCCCTCATCTCTTTCAGTTTTATTTCAAAATTGATAAACAAAGCAGTTGCCTTTTCCTTCTATTCAATATGCACACTAATTGGAAAATTAGAGTTATTATGTATCTAACTCAATGTTTGCTGTGAGGTATGTGTAGACTACATACTTTTTAGAAATTTGGACAGAGAAGTACCCTGAACTTGCCATATTGAAACCACACATGTAAAATACACACAAAGATGAAAAACGAGAGCAACCTTGAAAATTCACAGTGTGTGTATTTGTGTGTGTATTTGTGTGTGTGAAGTTTTTTGCTATTGTACATTAAGTCTCTCTAGATGTATTTTTTGTGTTTAGGATTCTGTTTTCTTTTGCCAAATAATTTGTTAGAAACTAAATTTAATTATTATGTGAATAATTTCCCTAGTGTACAAAAATTAGTATCCAGTCAGGAATTAAGTTACTTCATTGCACCAGAAGCTGGCAATGGCAAAAGCTAGTGATGGACTAATGACATCACCTGTCACCTCTGAGTATTGTTAATACTGGTTATAGTAAAAAAATAAAAACTCTTCATTGGTTAGTAAACAAAAGTGTACTTACAATTGTTATCTATATTACATAATATGTGAGCATTGAAACAAAAATGATAGTAATTCATAGACTGCTCAATGAATAGGAACTGGTAATTTTAGCTGATTTAAACATTTTAACTCATAACCAGGTTCTTATTTTTAACAGGCTTCTAAATGCTACTACAAAAAATGTGTAAACGCATAAAGTAGGTTTTCAATGAACATGTATTTTAAAGTAGACAGCATATGTTGCATAAAATTCAATAGCTGTAATAAAAATATAATTAAACTTTTATTTGCTAGGCCCTTTATGACATGAAGTCGTTTTATCCAATTCTATTTAGAAACCTCTTATATGCCTGCCTCGAATTTCTTCTACTTAACATTGCCAAAAAGTAGAAAAATAAAAATGAGCTTCCTTCTTTTTGTTGCTGAAAGAGCTTCATGAAGAAATTTGGGTCAAAAATCAGATGAGCTTCAAACATTTCTTATCTTTTTTCTTTCTTTCTTTTTTTCCTTCTTTCTTTCTTTTTTTGATGATACTATGTTAAAACTTAGCTATTTAAAGATAGTTACTAATAGAAATTACCATCACCATATTTTCCATCCTTTTTTTTTTGGTCGTACGCCTTTCTTTCTGTTGGCTTAAAATCAAACTAACAGAAGGAAAGCAAGCAAGTGGGATATGGAATAACATCAGAGCAAAGCATTTGGACATCCTGTTCATAGTAGTTTGATCCCAAAGATAACTTCCTTCGTCTGGCTGAGCTGTCTCTTCTAACCACCCACAATGAAACACTTCATATTCCGCAGCAGATCATTTTCACTTCACAGAGCTCTGCCTGCCAGTGTCCCCATTTCCATTCCGTGAGCAAAATGATGGTAACAGAGTGTGCAAATTCTTTGACGACAGAAGGCATTTTTTAGTGTACCGTGGAAGCCCTCAGTGGTTTACTGTCAGCATCCTCAGTATGAATGAAACAATTTGCCTTAATAACTGAACCATATAAATTTTTGATACCACAATAATACTGCCAGTTCTCTGAAATTACCACAGTACATCTTAACTGTCATGTCACATCACGTAAATTATAGTCATGATGACACACTTAGCTTGCTTGATTTAATATCTTGCTAAGGAAATGGAAAATTGTAGGTCCTTGTTTGTAAATTCAATAAACTCTCTTCTCTAAACATTTGAGGCTAATTCTTTTTTGCCAGTAATTGCCATTTGAATAAGAGCCACTGCCAGAATCTGATAGGAATAGTACATCGTGATTTTCTTTTACATCTGCTTAATCGCTGAGTTTTATTGATAGTCATGGCCTGTAGAATATGAGAACATGATGTCGTCTCTACCTTTTTAGTGTTAATTCCTAAGGTAAAAAATTGTTCATGAGATGTGATCACTTTTTCTTAAAAGTAAAAGGGTTAAATTGAGAAACATTTATCTATTTCTTTAGTTATAAAGCTGCTTGTAATAAGATGCTGTGTGTGGGCTCCTGTAATAAAGCCACTCTGCAGTTCTTCCTGCATTTCTTAGCACCCTAACCACACCTGATAAAAGAGCTCCTTTGATATCATATAAGTCATTCTGATTGTCACCAAACTCTAGAATGCAAGCCACTTCAATAAAGAAAACCTTTATTCCTATGAAACAACAGTACTTCGTGGAAAGTAAGGGTCTTTAGGAGTGGAGTGGGAAATCCTTCTATGTGTTCCTTTTATTAGTTAATGAATAAAGAAGCTGTTTTGACCTGTGATAGGGTAGAACAGAGCTAGGCGGGGAAAATTAAACTGAATACTGTGAGAAAAAAGGCAGAGTAAGGAGATGCCATGTAGCTGCCAGAGAGGAAAAACACGAGCTGCCAGCTGGAACCTTGCAATCTTTGTTTATTGATACAAATGTAAGGTCCATTTTGCACTTAAGATATTGTGTTTGTGCAGTTCATTTAAAAATGTAATGTCCAATTAAGAAATATAGGTTAATAGATAATCATCGATAATAGTCAAGCTTGTTGTCATGTTAGTTAGATTTTCTAGATGTACAGAGACATATTTCAGATGGATAGCTATTTTTCAAACATTTCAAAGACTACAGAATGCGGCATTTAAAATGTTTTAAGAGCTTAAAACTTTTTATGATAATGAGACACATCTGCTCCTGGCAGTACCAATTACTTCAAGAAGAAGATGGACATCGAAGAGGCTTCTTACGAGTTTGTTAGACATTTGGGCAAGAAACTGCTCTTGTCTGGACTGCTTGATGTTATGCTGTATGAACTGGACATACAGGATCCACAGAAAAATGACTTCTGAAGTTACCTAAAGAAGGTGAGGGGCTGGAGAGATGGCTCAACAGTTAAGAGCATTGCCTGCTCTTCCAAAGGTCCTGAGTTCAATTCCCAGCAACCACATGGTGGCTCACAACCATCTGTAATGGTTACATTACACAACCATCTGAAGACATACACACAGACAGAATATTGTATACATAATAAATAAATATTTTTTTAAAAAAGAAGATGAGATAGTCCTTTGGGGTTCCTACTTCATGAAAAAGTCTTCAAGACATTCTGTAGAATACAGGAAAAAAGCGAATGATAAATTGTCAATATAGGCAGAACTGTCTTTGAAATTTAAAAGTCTGCTGAATACTATGAGCCTGTAGGCTGAAGATGGTTGTTCCAAGAATACAGAAAAACTTTGGGTGACTGTCCAGACAGCAAGATGTCTCTGTTATTTCTAGGGTTTTGGAAGTTGCTTATGATGCACCTCCTGCTTACTTAGGTAATATTACATCCTTCTGGAGTCTTTGATGGAGTTGAAAAATAAATAGTTATAGTTATAGTTTTCCTTAGATATGATAAAAGATAAAGTAGATATAAATATTATAACTGTAGTCCTTGCTTAATACTTGTTATGCTATATGTAATTTTACTATGTGAAAGTTAAAACTTTCCTTTTTATTTAAACAGAAAATAGGAAATGGTGTGGTAGTCCTTCTGTTTATGTGTTGCTTTTATTGGTTAATGAATAAAGAAATTGTTTTGGCCTGTGATAGGGTAGGACAGAGCTAGGTGGGGGAAACTAACTGAATGCTGGGAGAAAGAAGGCAGAGACAGGAGATGCCATGTAGCTGCCAGAGGGAAAAGACGAGAGCTGCCAACTGGAACCTTGCCCATAGGCCACAGGCCTTGTGGTAAAATGTAAAATAATAGAAATGGGTTCATTTAAGATGTAAGAGTTAGCCAGAAATATGCTTAAGTTACTGATCAAACAGTATTGCAAATAATAGTTTCTGTGTGATTATTTCCGGCATCTGGGCAGCCAGGAAATGAAAAGGCAGCCTCCTTACAACATAGGAGGTTGTGTGTGAATCATGGATGAAGTCCAGAAGATCGTAGCTGATTTATATAGAGGCCACCATAACTATTTCATTGTCTCAACTGTGAATTAATTCCTCAATAGTAATCATGCCAATGTTTTCGCCTATGTGAGCAGATATATCAGGCACCATTGACAGTTTGTTTGTATGTAATTTCCCCATATCATTCTCAAGTCTCCAAAAAGGTTAATTCAGCTGCCCACTGGGTGCAGTGGGTAACATTTTATTTTCACAATCCTGGGCAAATGTTACTACTTGTCTTTGGGACATTTGTGCAAGGGGGTTCGAAAGGTGGAACAGGCAGAAGAGGAACACCGAGATAGATAGAGGACAGAGAACCCTGCTGGCTTTCTACGAGCAGCTGCTGTTCAGAAACAGTTTGGGAATTTCAGAGTTAGGCTAATTTACTGCATTAGTAAACCAAATGCTGCTGGAATACTGATAAAGTCATTTGCTTAAGGGTCCCCTAGTGGTCTGAAATGTTGGTGCAGCAAAATTCTCTGAGAAGCTGCTTTGGTGCGCTTGTTTCAGTTTTTACATTCCTGTTAAGTTTGAAATTCTGTCTTTAAACGTTACTGAATTAACCAGAGGAGACTTTTTTTTTTTTGGACAAAATCACTCTTATTTTCGACACCATCATATCGGATATCTTTGACTAGCTCAGAGAAACATTCATTAGTTTCTACTGCTAGTAATGGCTAT